GTAAGGCGATAATCAACAAACAAATAAAACTGCCTTCAAATCAGAACATGCCGCCATGCATGAAAACCTATCTGATGAAGGAAGAAGCTTATTTTTATTTTTTTTATACGTGGGTGGATGATATGTCGTGAGTGAGTGAGTTTAGTTTTACGCCACTTTTAGCAATATTCCAGCAATATTACGGCGGGGGGACACCAGAAAGGAACTTCACACATTGTACCCATGTGTTGAATCGAACCGAGTCTTCGGCGTGACAAGCGAACGCGTTAACCGCTAGACTACCCAACCGCCCCTGGATGATATTTATGCAGAAGATGAATAAAAAAGTAGAAAAACTAGCGCTCTTTCCCACTTCAACGTCCTATTCGTCAGAATTTGTTTAAAAATTCCTTGCGTTCATTGTTTACCTAAAAAAACCCGTTCTACTCTAGCTATTCTATTAAAGTCCGTTTGTCTCAAAATGAAGACGATGCATCGTAAAGAATGCTCTGCAAAAACAAATGTATACGTTATGTATTATTTAATTAATGCAACATATCTTAATATATTTTTTTCAAATTTGGCATACATGAAACAATCGGATGTCAAGGAGAAGTTAATTTGTTCACAATAACTTGTTTAGCCCCTTGAGGGTCCATGGAGCCATCGTCTCCCTTTGAAAAATCAAATCACGAATTGTGGCCTGAGGATTGTTCTCCCACCGTTCCTGCAATGCCTGTGCGAACTGTTGGAGGTTCTGTTGCTGTTGCTGAAGTCACAGACGTCGATCAAGAGAATCCCATAAATGTTCGATGGAGTTTAGATCTGGAGATATTGAGTGCCATGGATGTTGTGGTTCTTCAAAGAGGCCGTTGTCAGTCTTGTCGTGTGAGGTGGGTTGGTGTGTTGAAAATGACTTTAGCTTGTTGCATAATGGGATGGACGTGTGGTCGAAGGAGTTTATCCGTGTAACGTTGGGGCCTTAAATTGTCCTGGACGTGTACAAAGTCTGCTCTATTGGTATCGGAGATGGCGACCCATATCATAAATAGTAATAAGGTACAACATGTGTCCGTCAGTCGTGGCATGTTTTTACTTGCTGTATAATTGTCATGACAGACAAATGAAACTCATCGTTTTCATAGGTCAACAATTCATCGTGCACGTCGTTCACATCATGTCGGTGTGTCTGGTAAGCACGTTTCCATGTGGTTTCGTCCACTTTTCGGTATTTGTTGGAGGTACTTTATTCTACCTGCACATCCACCAAGATGCCTGCAGACATGAGAAATTCATTTTTGTTAAATATAAATTTTATCTTTGAATGAATATGAGCAAAGCTCAGCCAGATATTTCCAACGTTTCTACTTTTGCGTTCAGAATCGGGAATAGTATATATGTCAATAAGGTACATCGAAATGAATACTCTGTACCCAACAATATCTACAGTTTGTTATTTTTATCACTGGAACCAGTTTTTAAAGAAACTATCATGTTGTTATGTGTACGTTTTGAAATAAAATAGGGGGACAACGGATATTGTTGGGTATATGGTAATAATTGCCATGTACCGTACTGTCATTAACTAGACTATTCCTGATTTTGATACATTTTGCAATTCATTATTCCTACTTGAAGACAAACCAGACAATACTCTGGTTATATACTGGGGGTTGACCTTCATTCTTTGACTGTTACACAGAACCCCATCTCAGCTAATAAATCACATTACTCAATTTGTTTTTATGCACAGAAATATGCAAGGATAGTGTCAAAACACATTTGTGCTGCAAACTCTGAGAAAATACAAATAACGTCCTTTTCCCCTCAGGAATATGTATTTCTTCACGGTTAATATTTCCACCTGTGTGCAGACATTACTCATGAATTTAATATACAGTATTCCCAGGAATTATTGAGAAAGTTGTTTCGGCAAATACAGCTGCATAACAAAAATCCGTTACATTCCCAACTTTCACCTAATGTTCCATATATCGTGCCATCGTTCGGGCATGTTTGTTGTAAACTTATCAGTTAGTGTTGATAAGATACACCTCATATGCAAATACCATGTAGCCATTTGAAATATAGTGAAAAAGTATAATGCTTCTATCATTTCAAGCGGAATTTCCATGCAGTACCAGGAAAGGAGATAAGTAGGTTCAAGCGCCATTTTGTACTTTTACCATGCTAACTATCATCATGTATTACTGTAATAAAAATAATAACTAGTTTAAGCTATCAAAATGAAAGTTTTATGAATTCGTCTAATAAAATTCGAGAATAATGTCCGAAATAGTAAACATTCATGCTTAACCATTAAAATTTAGGCATAGATTCACTAAACACCAAATATTCCATGGAAATAAGACTTAGTTCTGTTCTAAATAATGAGTATCTTGTTTTCAAGGATTCTGTTCATCAGAAAGAATGGCTAGATGGCGACATTGGACAGCAATTGTGAAAGGGGTCAAATAATTAGCCTCAGAGAGTCGGGAATGGCCTGGAAGAATGTGCAACTGAAAGTATCGTCCTTACTGCTCTCCGCGCACGTTAAAGCACCAACCCCAAATCCATGTGTTGAGCCTCATGTCACCTAATGGCCTTGGTATCCTGAAATGGGTACCTGGAACCCTTTATAGTTTCAGGTACCAGCAAATAATCATAAATGATATCAAGCAACACTGTGAATGTCTCGTTTTACCTCAAAAGAAATTTGTGTTCCAGCAAGATAACGCCCCTGCCCATAATTCGAAATCCACACGACATTTTTTGGGCTACCCAAGGGGTACCACTGCTCCTGACATGAGCCCAATTGAGTCTCTCTTGGATATCATTGGTAAAAAGGTTTCCACAGACATGCCTACATCAAGATCAGAGCTTTGGGAATCGATTAAAAAACATAGGTACTCTCTGACAAATGATACCCTCCGAGCATTATACCAAAGTATGCCCCGGCGAATAAAAGCTGTCATCAAATTCAGGGGTGCAAATACTCCTTATTAACATGGTAGCAGAATTCTGTAAACTGTACATCACTGATGTTTCTTATAACTGCCAAAATATGTACCTGCTTGCCAGTAATAAAGCCTGATTAACGAATGTAACGGACTTTTGTTATGCAGCTGTATCTAATACATGTATGTAAACCATACAAGTTTTACTAAAATGAATATGTTGAGATAAGATTCACTTACAGTCTTAGTGTCTTTTCAGTACTTTGTGAATTCAGTATTGCCCTGCAATACACGAATGAATGCGCTTAGGTACGCTATCGATCAAAGTTTGTAGGAAATCGTGTGACAGCGTATCCCAATATTCGACCACTTCTTTCTCCATATCGTCAATATTTCTAAGTCCTTTTGGGGTTATTCTGTCCTTCATTAGTCCCCACACATTCTCAATCGGGTTAAGATCGGGTCTGTAGCTGGGCCAGTCTAAAACTTGAACATTTTCACCTGGCAACCTCTGTTTTGTGTAGCCCGCAGTGTGTTTTTGTTCGTTATCATGCTGGAAAATCCAAATATCTTCATACAGTGTTCGGGCCGTTGGAAGGAGGTGATCATTTAAGATGTCAACATATCTTTCCTTTGTCAAATGTCCAGTGCACAATACACAATGGCGTCACTCCACGTGATGATATCCCACACCACATGTGACATTTCGGGCTATGTTTTGGGCGTTGGTAGACAGGTTTTACGACATCTTTTGTCTAAAGGTTCACTCAGTTCGGAGAAAGCCAGATAGAACTTTCATCAGAAAAGAAAACATTATCCTAATCTTGATATTCGTGAGCCCTATACCAGTTTAAAGGATTTTTTGGGGTGCATCTTTCATCAATGGTGAGGGAATTCCGCGCCCTTTCACTTCTTGTCTAAGGGTTTCATTACAAGGACCCTCTATTAATCATCTAATTTCTGATATTCTCAACGCTTTTTAATATTCCCCTACTCACAATCTGACCAGGTCGCAGGCGATCCTTAGTACTTAACTTCCTTGGCCTCCCTGCCCCTGTCTTGTGCTTAATCCCATCTCCTGACTGAGTAGTCTTCAAAGTTCTGTATACTGCGGACAGGAATGTCATGTCTACCAGCTAACTCTTTTGCATCAGCCACACCCTTCAAACTCATCTAGAACTAGCCTTTTTCCTCTTCTGCTGTAAAATCTGCCATGCCAACAGAGGAAGCCGTCTGCTACACTAGGGGAGATAACTCTTGATGTAGTGAGGTTCATTCTTAAGCCTACAAGAGTTGCCTCCCACATCCAGGTCTTTACTACAGAATGCAACACCTACTTTAAAATTCTATTATCAGTATTTGGAAACAATTATTTTCTCAATAATTTGTGGGAAAACTGTATTGCAGTGAATAATTCCCAAGCAAGGAACAACACCTCGCTTATGTACAATTAGATAATTATGTAAACGGACGGGAGAAAGAAAGCATACGCTACAATATACGATTCGACCAAAACCATTGCAAACGTTATTTGGCTGAATGTCTGCTATCAAACATTTTGTCTTATAGTAAAAGTAATAATGATAATAGGACATGCCCTTCGGGCTCCCCAAATGCAACATTCTTTATCTGAAACTTGGCAAGATATTGACCATCTCTTGTAAGGTCAGGTCTATACGTACTTTGGGATGCAGGTTAGAGACAAACTCGACACATGAAGATCTTTGTATTGATCTTCAGTAACCCATGCTTGTCGTAAGTAGCGACTAACGGGATCGGGTGGTCAGGCTCGCTAACTTGCTTGACACATGTCATCGTATCCCATTTGCGTAGATCGATGCTCATGCTGTTTATCACTGGATTGTCTGGTTCAGACTCGATTATTTACACACCGCCGCCATACAGCTGGGATATTGCTGAGTGGGACGTAAAACTAAACTCACTCACTTGTTTCCTCTCTAGCGTCATGGCCCTGTAACATGTTACACACCTTGGACATCATCACACGAACACGTACACATTATAGGGTACATAAAACAGTATTTTAAAGAGAAAGCATAAAAATATAATTGATTGTATTGTTTATTGCAGTTAGAAACATGACAATAGTCAAATAGTGATTAAATACAAAAGCATGTACAGTAGAATACTTTTATAACGAACACGGATATAACGAACTGACGGCTATAGGTAACCGTTTTAAAAGTCCCGGATAAACCTTATATTATCATATAAAAAAGTGAATAGCGAACTACGGATATAACGAAATAATTTCAGTGGCCCCTTGGAGTTCGTTTTGAAGGTATTTTACTGTAATACTGTAACATAAATGTTCAACAGATATTCGAAAATGTCACAGAACGTCCACACTGAACCGACATTGATGCATAATGATACTGAGCAGATGTAATGAAAAAAAACCTGCGATGAGCAGCTGTTGATGAGCAGCTGTTTAGTTGTCCAAGACTCCACAGCTCGCTGTTTTGAATGGTTTCCCTTAGCTGTACGAGGATCCACACGCAGTGGAATGAACTCCAAGAATCCACATTTATCATCCCTTCTCTTCATAACCAGCAGATAGTCATTATATCAGTTTAGCATTCATTAACGTGACTCCAAAATACCATATTGTATATTTTTTATCAATTTTATCAAATCATGCAAATATTTTATCAATTTAAGAAATCTGACGTCATACTGCATTCGAGTCGTGGTACTTTTGTGATATTTTACAAACTACAAACATTAAAAGAAACATCATTTAGAAATATCACATTACACATATCTAAGACACGTTGGTTATCTGATTTCAAATAATTTCAATAATATAGTAATTATCATAGTTATATGTAGGTGCATCAAACCTAAACACTCCTATAACAGGGGCGGTAGCCTAATGGCTGAAGCGTTCGCTCGTCATGCCGAAGGCCATTGCTAACCACCGGGTAAAACTAAACCCACTCACTGCACTCTAATTACAAGACAGTAATTAAATAAGACGTAGATGTCAGCAAGGTGAAAACGTCAAATGTCAAATACATACCAAATGAATAGTAAATTGTAAAATGTAGTTTAACAAACGACCCACTTCTCATAAACATATTTACAAACAGCGGTCAATTGTGGAAATATCAAATATTGGACTAATTAAAGTGCTTATAACGGACAATGCATCCGTGGAAATATTAACATGTATAATTAATAACAAATACAGATTGAAGTTATAAATACTGTTCTCTGCTGCCTCATTGTAAATGACAAAAAACCAAAGTTCACATGAGTATAAATTCAGAACTATTACACAAAAAGCACACGTTTAAGTTTATGGACGTTAATATGAAAAGCATGAAATAAACTCAAAAATAATCATCCGGATCGAAAAAGGACTTCCTTCTAAAACCATATCGTTCTGATAACAACATATATAATTACGATATTCAAGAAAATGTAAAAAGAAATTTTCACATCGATTTTCTTCCAAACTGACTCTAAATATACCAGTAACGATTATGAAGCACGTACACTTTATAATTAACTAGGGGAATATATTTCCGCTTTACCAAAACATTTAAAATACAAACGTGTACGTATAGGTACCTATATATTAGCAAAAACGGTTATTTCATACTTTAAGTGGTATAAAACAGTGCAGGTAGGCAACAACTCGACGTTTCATAATCCCACTTTATAAGTAACAAGGATGGATCTATTTCCGGTTAAACACAACATTTAAAGCACTTACGTAGAGGTACCTATACATTACAAAGAGAGGATATTTCATTTCTAGGTGGTATAAAACAGTGAAAGTAACAGTTCGAGGTTCTGGAATACTAATGTTATTAATGTTTCTGATATTTTATTTCTGGTGACCAATGATGACTACTCAGTATGGTAAAAGGTCATTAAAGTGAGCTGGAAATAGGTTGTTTAAATGTTGTTGTTTTGTCTCATACTTTTTATTATTAGTTTCACGTCTTGGTAACAACGTTGTTCAGCTAATTCCAAATAATAACTAGTTCGAGATGCGAATAGGAAGAACAGTAACTATTCTAGCTACTACCAGCTGAATTGTCTAAGTCCAAGTTTTAAGTACAGTTTAGCCAGACCTCAGATTTGTATAGAGAGCAATATATAGTTTAAGTACAGTTGATCTATCAACCACATGCCTTTAGGTTTAGATTTCCGTAGAAAATATCATTTAAGTTGAGAAATCGCTTATGCACTTAATATTATAACACCTTTATATATCTAAAAATGTATTTACATCACGGTGTTTACGAGTATAGGAATGGCGAATAGGTGCATTATTATATACATAATAAGGATTTGCGATATTGTTTTTGTTACGTAATACAGTGTATGTAGATTTATCATGATTAACTGTTACAACACAACTGTACGCCCAGTAAGATAGCACATACTTAAAGTATTCATACGCTTTCTGAACAGACAATACATCAATGGAAGTGACCACGGGGAATACGCGAGTTTATTGTGTATAAAAAGAATGAAAAGGGACTTAATACTGAACCTTGGGGTACCCATGTCGGGGATCTCTGAAGATGGGAGGCGACAATTTACAAACACATTTCGGTTTCGTCTAGAAATTAAAATGTTAATTATTTGTTGGTGGGATTACTGGATGGGTGTCTTTCGTTATACATTGTAAATTTTCAGTGAAGTGCAAAGGCGGATCACTGTAGAGATTTGTGGAAGACACAATAGCAATAGCTCCCTAAAGTATCTGGTAGTGGCTTGAACAATCTTATATTAATGTTGTCATGACCAATGGATATATAATATATGCCAAAAAAGACATTATGAGATCACATATTTCTTGCAATACTATGGTGAGTATGGAACGATTCGCTTTTCACACTGAGGTGAAGGGTGAGTGAGGTGAGGTGAGGAGAGGTGAAATTGGGTTTTACCTTGTGCTTGAGAATATTTCGCTCATATGACGACGTGCATGCGTGTGTATGTGTATGTGCGGCTGCTTGTACTAGCCCAGATTTAAGCTGTTTTTTAATAGTGCTTGCCCACTGAGATACCATGCCGCAGTGAAGCATGAATACCCCACTCAGACACATTATACTGACTCAGAGCCGACCAGTCCTTGTTGTACCCATTAATGCCGAGCGCCAGACAGGGACCAACAAGTACCATATTTTAACGTCTTTTGGTATGACGCGGTCGGGGATCGAACCCGCGACCTTCCGCTTTCCTGGCGGACGCTCTAACCACTACACTAAGGAGGCGGTGAAGGGTGAGTAGTAGCTTCAACGTCTCGTATCGAAACACAAAAATCATTAAGAACTTCAGCTAAAGGCTGATAGGTAAAACAGAGCGGCTACGTTTTGAGGAACCTCTGTATTTTCTAATGTTTCTCAGATATGTCTAGTAATTAACAGCATTAAGAAACATTTGGATCAGGATTTAAATGGGTATCGTCAGCGATAATTCACAGAAGGAAGCAGGACGTAAAGTTAAGACATTAATACAAAATTATGATGTTTACCAACATATGAAAAGTAATATTGGGTTGAATCGACCATGATGTTTATACCGAGATTTCAAAGAGCGTCATAGTCTGTTGCTGAGATGTTAAGAACGTTCAAGGCCCCAGTAAATCTTGCAAAACGTTGTTGTTGTTGTTTTTGAGTGGACACGTAGGGGACATTTCAAAATTTGATGCATCTGTGTCAAAATGATGTCAGATGCAATTTCCTAATCATTGAAGTACAGCTGTAATATTGCTGGGTGAGGTGTAACTAACATTGACAAACAAACCAACAAACACATGCTCATAATATAGTCGGAATTGTGCAATCGACTTCTTATGGAGTTGGAAAGGATTCTTTTCGCTTTTATTTACTGAATATATAACTGAGTATTTTCAACTTGTGTCAAAGAATATGTTGTTTCTGAAGGAATACATTTATTTTAGAATAAACTGATCATTGCTCAGTGTGTGGCTATGTCAGACATGATGATGGGAGAATATTTAAACCAGGTATGAGCAATGAAGTGAAGGTACTTGTTGTTCAAAATAGCATAACTGTTCATTTTCGCGTCGGAGACAATAACTGTTTCATAATGGGAGAATTTTAAACCAGGTATGAGCAATGAAGTAAAGGTACTTGTTATTCCAAATAACATCATCGTTCATTTTCGCTTTGGAGAATATGGCTAATTAATGATGGGAGAGTTTTTAACCAGGTATCAGCAAAGAAGTGAAGAGTGAGTGAGTGAGTTTAGATTTACGCCGCACTTAACAATATTCCAGGTATATGGCGACGGTCTGTAAATAATCGAGTCTGGACCAGACAATCCAGTGATTAACAGCATGAGCATCGATCTGCGCAATTGGGAACCGATGACATGTGTCAACCAAGTCCACCCGATCCCGTTAGTCGCCTCTTACGACAAGCATGGGTTACTGAAGATCAATTTTCTAACCCGGGCCTTCACGGGTTGAAGTGAAGAGTGAGGCTAAGAGTGTTCAGTGAACCATGTTAGTGTGTAAGTACAATAAATATTGCAAGGTATTCTGCATTGACTGGATGTTGTGTCAATAGTTGTTCTTCGTAATAAGAGTAAACAAAACGTAAATGTATTCGTGCAAACTGGCTGTGTGCAGATGAAGCCTGCCTGTGATCGCAAACAAAATATGTACAGATGTTAAGATATATACAGTTTTCCTACTGTAGGATTGTCACTGGCGTTTCGTACCAGGAATACAATCACCTATATACCACTGCAATTACAGCGTACAAGCTCTTTGTGCTTCATTAAGAAGAGGAATAAAAGGTATGGATTTGTTGAATTCATTCAACACAAATGATCACTTTTACAGCTCTTGGCTGTCATCAACGACTATTTTTAAAATGTGCAACATGTTCCGAAGGCAAAGTTGTGGCATCATCCACCTCACACTTGACCAAAGCAATAGGGCCCCTAAATAGGTCACGGAATTTCGCGAGACCTTAGTACTTACGGTGACAAACGAGGTTTCATACAAATGGTCTCATAGTTGTCAATTGACAGTAAGGAGCCGATAATACTTGCAGGGATAAAACACTTTTGATCTAACCATCCTCCAGTTAGCCAACTATTACGACTGTCAACAGCTGTGACAGCCAAGCATGGTTGTACACTTGGTCCGGTCTAGTCAAGTCATATTGGGCGGTCGCGCAATTTTGAAACAGAACTGCTGCTTGAATATACGCTTGTCACCGGAAATTTGGTAACGGAAGTAAGCTGGATCCCGTCTCTCATATAGGACGTTTGCGCGCGCAAAGGGAGCCGGGGACCAACTTAGTACTGGACTTAAAGGCCCTATATGATCCAGATAAAGGATAACCTCCAGCCCTTTCTTTTCTTTTCCTATATATCTTCGACTGTAGAGTATGTTTTGTGAAATATCTATGCTACCGGGTGATAGATGGGTATCAATGGTTCCTCCTCCGATTCAAAGAAGATGAGGATGGAAAGAAACAGTAACCATTTGAGGGGAGGCAAATGGAAAATTGAATTCACATTACACAGTGGCTATTGTGTATGGAAACATACACACTTTTAAGTATTTATGTAATTTTACGTAGACAAAGAAGTGAAATAATTTTAAGCCTCCATATCCAAGTTTGTAGAATCGAGTCGACTTGCGGTAAGTGATATGAGACTATACTTACAGAATGACTATTTTGTATGGAAATTTGTGTTTTGATAAATATATATAATTCAAATATTTATCATCAGTGCAACAGATGAGATACGTTTAAAACATGCATGGCTATTTTGTATAGAAATAGACACACTAAACGCCGAAAGAAACGTTACCCTCCTTCCTTAATGACGGAGGCACCTATCTTCAGCTGGCGTTGTGATGCGTGGACGTCCACTTCTTGGTCTGTCTACGGTGACCCCAGTCTGTCTGAAGCCCTGAATAATTTTATAACCGTGACACGGTGGCATCCGAGGGCGTGGGCAACAGCATTGTATGTCGACCCCATCTCCGCCATACCAATGACTCTTTCTCTCTCATCAGCTGTTAATCGTTGCATAGTTCTCGTACTTGTGTATCCTATCATGTATTCTAGGCTCTCTGCATACCCTATAGAATCATTCTACATGAGAAATGGATGCAAATACTGCTTGAATATTGCTGCGTTGTTGCGATTGATATTGCTATGTGTAAACAGAAAATGGAAAAATGTTACTTTGCAAACAAAAATGTTAACAAAGATACTTTTAGATGTTCCTAAACATTTTAGATGTTCATTAAACAATACCAAAGACACGTTATACTTGTTTTCACTAATGCAAATCAGCTAGAATATGTTTTAAAAGACTGAAATCATAGGAATGATTATTATTTTACACACTCTACAACAGTTGTTTCTTGTTTTAATAGTTGAAAAATGGTGACTATAATGGTTTATCAATGTCCCAAAGCTCAATTCTATTTCAACCTTTCTTTTGGACATCAAAATCACTGTTATAGGTTTATTTGGGCATGGACGAATATAGGACAATTTATCTCTTCTGGAAAAGATGCATTTCACCTAAATATGAATGCATTTGAGAATTTCTTTTCGTGATTTACATACAGCTGTGTTGTTCAGCTTTCTTGAAAACTAATACCTTCTAACATATCTTTGATAGTTTTTCAGTAATTCATAAAGGTTGGAGGGTAACGTTTCTTTTGGCGTTTAGTGTATTTCATGGTATTTTAATATTACGATTTTAATAATTAGAACAAAAAGGTATTTATAAAGTATGATATTTATCATTAGAACACAAGCCAAATAAGTTTAAAGCGTCAATGAATTATGGTACCCTATTACAAAATTGCTGTTTTGTATGGAAATATGGTATTTATAATATTACGATATTGATCAAAAGAACACAACAAGTGAAATAGGTTTGAAGCATACAAGAATTATGGTACTTAATACCAAATGGCTAATTTGTATAGAAATATATGTTGTCGGTTCATACATATATTTATCATTAGATGTGTGTTTTGTGTTTGTTTGTTTTTGTTGTTTAGCGCCGCACTATCATTAGAGGAAGAAGTGAAATTGACCTAAAGCATCCATAGTCGTGTTGGTGGAGTTGATGTAGTTACGACTTGAGGTCAGTGACAGAGGAGCTGCTGACTCTTGGGCGTGGTTTGAAGCAGTTGGCCATGAGGAGGTAGAATAACTCCAAGACCTCACAGATAGACAGCACGGATATACCCATCCACAGACCTAGCTGACCGCCGAAGTCACTAAGGAGGCTCGCAAACTGAAACATTCAGAGATGAAACATTTTGTATATGTCCGTAAAAGGACTCTCAAACTGAAACATTCCGATATGAAACATTTTGTGTATGTCAGTGAAGGGCTCTCAAACTGAAACATTCAGAGATTATGGAGTTGGTTTTGTCGCTGTTATTTACTGAATATATAACTGAGTATTTTCAACTGAAGGAACACATTTTATTAAGCTGATCATTGCTCAGTGTGTGGCTATGTCAGATATAATGATGGGAGAATATTTAAACCAGGTATGAGCAATGAAGTGAAGGTACTTGTTGCTTCACTGTTAATTTTCAAACTGAAACGATCAGATATACTTTATTTGCATATGTCAATGAGGAGACTCTCAAACTGAATCACTCAGAGATGGAACATTTTCTATTTGCCACATGAGGAGACTCTCACACTGAAACATTCGGAGGTGAAACAGTTTCTATTTGCCACACGGCATTCAACATAACTAGAAGAAGTATGATTGCATACATGTACAGTGTATGTAAGCAATAGTCAATGGGGTAACTTATGTCTTTGGAGCATGTACAGTAAAGAACTTTTACAATAACACTTCTACCGAACAACCGGATATGATTAACTGATGTTCTTTGTCAGGGCCACTTGCTGTGTTTTTAGACGAAATGTGTGTTACGAATTACGGTTCTAACGAACTAAAATTTGTCGACTCTTTGAGTTCGTTATAGCCGTAGTTTACTGTATTTTGTAGAAAAATGAGTACACGACAAAAGTGTAATATCACGGTGGGTGACACCTGAAATGGGCTTCACACATTGTACCTATGGTGGGAATCGAACCTGGGTCTTCAGCGTGACAGGGGTGGTTTGGTAGCCTAGTGGTTAAAGCGTTCGCTCGTCACGCCGAAGACCCGGGGTCGAGTCCGACATGTGGAGGACATTTCCAAATTTGATTCATCAGTGACAAACATGATGTCCGATACAATTCCCTATTTAGGAGATAAACCTACTATGTGGGAAAATCAGAGGTATATAACGTGGGAAAATTATAATAACTCTAAATGTCATTTAAAACCGGACGCGTAGCGTGAAGTTTTAAATGAAAAATTTAGAGCTATTATAATTTCGTTATATACCTCTGATTTTCCAACACAGTAGGTTTATCTCCATTCTACCATGACAATTTTATGAACAATTTCAGTTGGAACTCTTTCGTTGGTTACGAGTCAATACGTGAAGCGGCCTCGCATTCCAATCTGAAGTGGCATCGCCCGAAACGGGGTGATTGGTGACAAATCGTCAATAACTAACAAACTCCAGATTCAGTAATAACAAATAACGTTTTATTTATTCAATGCATTAATCACCAATCATTAACTGATAAGTTGGAAAACTGCAAATTTGGAAAGATGCGACAGGAGAGCGTCTGACAGTTTGCGCAAGGTTAACCTGATTGTATGACTGAGATAGTCTTTGATATCTAATTACTGGTACTGGTACAAAATTTAAGAGTAGAGGCGCTTTTGCTGTAATGAGAAGTCCGTGTTGTACCGAATTTAGATACTGTTGAATTTTGCGCCCTGTCAACTTGACGATTTCACGCACCTCTACGTCTGCGTGCGACAGAAGGGTCACTGTGGTGACTCTTACACACTCATGTGTGTACTTTGTGCTCAAATTCGATTCTACGGATATTATTTTCTATATTTTGGAAAGTGTTTTGTGACCTAGCGGCTTCAAAGTGTAGTAGATTCAAATTGAATCAGATTCGCTGGCATGTTCGCGAGGCTGTTGACAAAGAGCAAGATTTGTGGTGATATGTTTATGTTGCTATTTCCACGATTAATGTGGGCATTTCTGCCGTTTTCTGCCGAGTGGGAAAGTTTTTCTTTGGTAGGCCTGAATATAGTCACAACTGTACAATCGACTCTGCTTTTGTCAGAGATGTCTTATGAATGTGGAAAGGGTTCTGGCCCCAACCGTGATATTGCTGGAATATTACTAATAGGGGCTGAAATGACCAAACTCACTCACTCACTTCAGCGTGACGAATGAACGCTTTGATCAATAGGCTATCCAAGTGGCCGAAACGAGGAATGGTACTGTTGTGACCCAAAAGGCTTCCGAATTTTGATACTCAGCGGAGGCAATATTCATAATAACACGTCTTAGTAGGCTTGTTTAAACTTACCTCATAGGCGGGTTCCTCTTCGATTGTTTGCAGGGACAGCTCTGAGAAGTACACGTTTATGGACAGAAGGTTGTCTCTGCAGTGAGAACACATCACAACATGACTTTACTCTTTTGATAGATTGACACTATCCATCTAGTCCACGAGAACATATCTATGTGGCAGCAATTTATAAACAATTGAGTCTGGACCAGACAATCTGGGGGTTGACGTCATGAGTATCTATCTACGCGGATACGATGGCATGTGTCAACCAAGTCAGCGAGTCTGACCACCAGATTCCGTTAGTCGCCTCTTACGACAAGCATGGGTTGCTGAAGACCAATTCTAACCCGGATCTTCGCGGGTCAAATTTAATTGTTATTGCCCAGTTTTTGAATTATACATTACATTGTTATAGCCCGAATGTTTAATCTTACTTAATATTTATTGCTTTTCAGTGTGTCTTTGTGCATACATTTGTGTATCAGAGAGCCTGGCCTCCAGATCCCGTTAGTCACCACTAACGACAAACATTGGTTGCTGGAGACCAATTGTAACCCGGATCCTTACGGGTAATTCGGGTAGCGTCAAACACCGCTTTGTCGAAGTTGAAGTGACCTTCGCAAATACATCGATTTATCCCAGGTTCGACACAACCTGGTGTGTGGTCTGTTCATATACTCATGCCAATAATGGTTGTCACCCCCTTCAAAAATTTTTATTGGCGAGGGGGTGTGGGTGGGGGAGGGGGTTACAACCATTATCGGCATGAGTATATAACTAAAATGTCACAAATCAGTCACGGAGTGTTTTTGGATGGGTGACCATGTTTGGCAGCTTGACTTCTCACAGTTTCTAGGACTTCAGGCCTGCCCCACAACGAAGCATATGCAATACATGTGGTCTCACCTCAGGCAAAGGAGTTTATTCAAAATTGCTTCTGCTCTCCCAGCAGAAAAATGGGTACCCGGTGGGATTAGTCATGTGTCCATTAACCTTCTAGCGCCTCACAGGCAGTTTGGGTTATCCGGGGTAATAATAATCAGATTGTGCTTTCAGCTTGTTAGCGCTATGAGCATTCAATTAGTGAATGTAGTTCAGCGCATTATAACTGCACTCATTATTAACCTGATTAGATAAGGAATATGCGGAGACCAAGCTTCATCTTGAGGACAACCGTATGTTCGACCCACAGAAGTTCGATAGAACGGTGTTTGACTGTTTGTAAAGTATGTAAACATACATAAATATTATCTACATGTTAAGAGAAGGAAATTCTTTTTCCGCACCGTAGGCAATTACTGGGAGATGATTCTGTTGATGTTCCCACTAAGCATATCTCGGATAGAATTCCCATAGTTGATAATGTTAGGCATTGTGACGGTCGGCCAAGCATGATTACAAAATTGGGTATCACTTCGGAAATGTTACTCAAGGGACGTTACTCTTAACTGACTGGTTGTCCTAGAGGGCACTGTGTTAAGTGCGACTCTTATCCATGACACAAGCACAAGCTCATTCTCTTCCCACAGAGGTTACTTGTCATATCTTCCTACGAACCTCTGTTCTAATACGGCCATATTTCCCGGTTCTCGTAAAATCCCCCTAGCGGCAAAAGATCGCAACACGAATTATCTCCCTTCTTTCTATCCAATCAGAACACGTGTTACATCGACTTAGATTCAACTTGACTAACACAAGCAAATGTGGGGCCACAAATATCCCCCATCTGCCGGGGACTTGTGTAGATGTTACACACAAGACGTTTAATGGCTAGCTTGTCCGTTGTCAACGAGGGCGATGGAGACACCACTGATCCGCCATAACATGACTGAGTTCTGTCTAGAAGAAACGTTTGCGCATCGCGCAGGGGAAGAGGTTTAGTTTTCTCAAAGCATACGGAAATTACCGAGGCCTTGCGAATGATCACTTTTGAAACAACGTCGCTGATTGCACAACTAAATCTAATTGCCTCCAATCACGAGTCTTGAACGCTCACACCATGAAATGGCCGTATTAGAACAGAGGTTACGTAGGAAGATATGACAGGAGTAACCTCTGTGGGAAGAGAATGGCACAAGCTCGGCAATGCTGTTTTCCTTGGAATTTTGGTGAGTGGTTAATTAATATAGATTCATTATTTTCAACTCTAATAAAATAAAAGTCCCCAAGACAAATCAGCATGACATCGTTGATAATGTTGGGCAGTGTAACGGTCGGCCAAGCATGGTTACAACGTCGGTTATCACTTCGGAAATGTTACTCAAGGGACGTTACTCTAAACTTACTGGTTCCCCTAGAGGGCACTGTGTTTAGTGCGACTCGGCAATACTGTTTCCACGGATCTACGGTATGTGGTCAATTAATGTATTTCATCATATTCAACTCTATTTCAAAACGGTCCCCAAAGAAAATCAGTGACAGCTATTTCAGAAATACCAACATGAATTATTATTTTATTGTCACTGAAAACTCCTCGTTCACATATGTCTATTACTAAGTGTGCGAGTGAATTTAGTTTTACGCCGCACTCAGCATTATTCAAGCTATATGGCGGTGGTCTGTAAATAATCGAGTCTGGACCAGGCAATCCAGTGATCAACAGCATGAACATCGATCTACGCAAATGGGATACGATGACATGTAGTCAGCGAGCCTGACCACCCGATCCCATTAGTCGCCTCTTACGACAAGCTTGGGCTACTGAAGATCAATTCTAGCTCGGATCTTCACGGGTCCTATTAGTAAGTCCGGCAGTAATCGCAATGGTGTCTATCGAATTGTAAGTATCATGTAGTTCGCCGCGATTGGTAGGACAAGTTCTGTTGTTTGTTTGCTTGCTTGCTTGTTTTTAACGGCACACTCAGCAATATTCCAGCTGCATGACAATCCAGTGATCAACATCATGAACATCGATCTACGCAATTGGGATACGATAACATGTGTCAGCGAGCCTGACCACCTGATCCCGTTAATCGCCTCTTACAACAAACATGGGTTGCTGCAGACCAATTCTAACCCGGATTTTCACGGGCCGGGAAGACAAGTAAGTCTTGTGCATACTGGGTATTTGGGTCTTTGTATTTCCAGTCTATAGAACCTTAATCGGTTAATATTCTTTGGATTTCTCCAATACATAAACGTCTGGGTTTTGATGCTGTGGTTTCCTGATGATAGAATTGTCCAGATTTTGATTTTATTGATACCCCCAACATTTATATAGTGCACCCTGGTTAGAATGCCACCCTGGATATAATGACATGTTTTTGCCAGAAGAGATTTCCTGCCTATATAATACCCTTGTTATAATGCCAAAGGGGATATAATGCCATATTTTCTCCAGGACAAACGGTGGCATTATAACCAGGGTATATTCTATTATGTAATTTTAACGGCGTATGAGAACAAGCTGTTATTTGATCCGACTGTAACAGACCATGTTGCGACATACCTGCTGTTCTCATCGTTGAATACGTCAGTTTTGAAATTTTCTGCCCATTTCCTGACCTTGAACTTGATTGCAGGGTCATAGTGGTTTGCCGGCCATCTTGTCATTGACACTTGTTTTTGGAAGTCATACACTCTACGAACAAAAGAAAAGACCTCTCTATTCCAGTTCATAATACAACCAGTGCCCACATATTCTTCGTCACCGAGCAAAGTAAAATATATTGAACAAAATAGTTTTGAAGATTACATGTGTTTACAAAATGGTCGATTTCTTCGAATAAAAATCGAGACCATTTCTGGTATTATCAACTCAGGAGTGCAATTACTAATTTGTAATCGATATTTCCTCACGAAGGTTAAATAGTTTCATGTGTCTACAAGAAATGATATGATGTTATTATGGTGTTTTATGGGAGTGAGTGAATGAGTGAAGTCTAAGCCAAATTTAGCAATATTCCAGCAATATCACGGCGGGGAATACCAGAAATGGGCTTTACACATTGTACCCATGTGGGAAGTGGGACCCGGGTCTTTAGCGTGACGAACGAACGCGTTTACCCCACCGCCACGTTTTATATGTATATGTTATATATCGTCTTATATTTATGTGTTATTGCCTTGGCCATCAGATGAAGGTCTACTATAGAAGGGCTCTAAGGTGTCAAATGTAATAAAAACCCAAACAAACAAAAACACACATTATGCAAATTCATACTACGGGTGATATTTCAATTGTATCGGGGTGTGTCAGCTTAAATGTGGTAAGCCGGGAGTAATGCAGTTCGTAGACTGTTTTGTAGACACCCGCAAACGAGTATCTGGCATTTCAAAGGGAGATAACTCTACATAACAATCGGCGCCCCGGACGACGGGATACCAGTGCGGCCGCCACGCTATGAGTATGATTGTAAGACAGCTCAGTGCTAATTGTGCAGAACGAAATTTAAGACTTATTGCAAACGTCAAAAGATAAATAATAATTATTGGTATTATGCAGCTGTAACTGTAAAACATACCTGCATGTACTCCGGCAGGCAACATCACATTTAATCTTGCCGGATTGCTTCTCCTTAATGATGTCCTTTATACACGGGATGTCTACAATACACAGGTTTACATGATACAACAGATGTCCACAATACACGGGTTTAAATGTTTACATGATACAACAGATGTCCACAATACACGGGTTTAAATGTCACATGTCCAATACACTAGTTAAAGGTGAAGGCTATACTGGTTAACTGTCTTGTAGTAAAACGTACAGCTCGCATGGCGCATACGACATACGTTGTCAGTTTATGGTTGGACCGTCCGGATCAGCGCACCTAGCGCCCATTACCGGGTCCCCTTTCACGAAGAAATCTCAGCCCTACGACGTCTATGTTAAAGTATGGTGTGCCCTATTTCAGGGGCCAGAAGCGGTGGGTGCTGGGAGCAATGATCACATAACTTCAGTTTTTTACAAGGGGCCCTGGAGAATACGTCCACTGCAGGATAACTTTATGTTTAGACTCACTTTTGGATCCGCACATTTCCAGATCGGGGTCATCTTCTTGTTGTTGCTGCCGTGTGCAGCCGCAGCTGTCCTCTATGAGAGTCGCAAGGCAGTTCCGTTCACACTCCTCATCACAGAAATCATGGCATTATTTAACAAAAAACACATACATGTCGACATGTGTCCTTTTAATAGGACAGGCATTACTTCAGGATTCCCTCCCCCCAAAAGCTGACACACCATGATATATCTGGCATAATGTTAAGGAGGTAAAGACGGTGTTTTACCCAGCTGTTTAACTCACTGTTTAGCTCTCCTATTTTTCCATAAGGTTAAAAAGGTTTAAACCTTTTTTGGAATAACATTATTGTGATCGAAATACAGTGTAGTAGTGATTTATATATTTTCACATATTTTAATTGATTATTACATTGTCTTTTCATTTCCGTGTTTGAGATGTAAGAGGTGATAACACTGCTTTCCTGGAACCCTGTAATTGGAAATGTCACGTCCATTCACTCGCAGTATCATTCAATGGCTGTATTCACACACTCCAAGTGCGACAATGCGACTTGTCCCATTTTTGCATTGTCGCTGTTTAGTCAAATTTGACAAGTTGTACTTCTTTTTATAACGCGACAGTATCTCTGCTAAGATCCCATACTAAACGAGCCCTTACCAGAACACTTTCGTACTTCCCAGAATCGTCGCACGTGCCATACGGATGGGGCTGTCTTTTGTACACGACCTGTTGCAGAAAGCAGAGTAATTGATTGAGTGAGTTTAGTTTTACGCCGCGTTTAGCAATATTCCAGCAATACCACGGCGGGGGACAGCAGAAGGCAGAAGCACACCTGCACCGTATGTTGCATACCAACTGATGTTGATTAGTATTGGTACCAGTTGGTGGAATTCGACAAGGGACACCCGTGAAGAGGTGACTAACGGGATAGGGTGGTCAGGTTCACTGACCTGGTTGACACATGTCATCGCAACCCAGTTGCATAGATCAATGCCCATGATGTTGATCACTGGATTGTCTGATCCACGCTTGATTATTTACAGACCGCCGCCATATAGCTTGAATATTGCTGCGTGCGACTTTAAACAAATAAACACCCAAAACTACCAACCAACCAGTTCGACAAGGAGGGCCTTTAGATCCACATCTATTCAAATATAGAATACTATGGTGTTACCAACGAGCATAAGTACAAAGACAAGTCAAGAAGCATAACTGACACAAACCAGGAGTCGACCATAAACTCATATGATTCTGGTATAACCAGTCCGCCCGGAGAGCGGAAGGTCGCGGGTTCGATCCCCGACCGCGTCATACCAAAATACGTTAAAATATGGTACTTGTTGGTCCCTGCCTGGCGCTCGGCATTAATGGGTACAACAAGGACTGGTCGGCTCGGAGTCAGCATAATGTGTCAGAGTAGGGTATTCCTGCTTAACTGCGGCATGGTATCTCAGTGGGCTGGCACTATAAAACCAGCTTCAGTCTGGGCTAGTACAAGCAGCCGCACATACACATACACACGCATGCACATCGTCATTTGAGCAAAATATTCTCAAGCACGACGTTAAACCCAATTTCACCTCACCTCACCTGGTATAACCAAGGACCAAAACTCCCTGCCTAAATGCATTAATGTGTAAATATGGCATCGGGTATTTATATGCTGTACTGGTGTTAATCAGTATTTCTAAATGCTGAGATGTAGTTTTTTTCTTATATGATGCATTGATAGATGTTGCCCACACTGGCAGTGTTTCGACATTGCTTAAAGCGCCAAGAGAACCGTACTCACTCATCCACTCGAAATTTCGCTATACTTATACAATATTCGACATAACGAAATTATGCTGTTTATGAAGTACATTAAGCCTTTGTACACATGTAATATAGACATGAAAATTTAAAGAGCTGACACGTATATACATACAGGTTTTACTCCAATCTGTGTCTCAAAGCCAGTGGAGAGAGACTGCCCGAGTTCGAGCATGTAAGGCCTGGATCCAAACTCATGGATCTGGAGACGGACCCCGGCGGAGGTGGTAATGAAAGGAAGATACTCGTTCTGATCCACGTTCAGGATAAGTTTCAGACCTGGTAATAATCAGTTTTGTTGTTCACGGGCAGTCAAACGTAGGAAAAACATGGAAACATATTTACATATACATAAAGCGTCCATCACAACTCTTAACGTACCTTACCTTTCGCGAGGTACCTTACCTTACCTCTCGTGAGGTACCTTACCTTAACTCTCGTGAGGTACCCTACCTTAACTCTCGTGAGGTACCTTACCTTAACTCTCATGTTCATTTCGTCATTTGTGATTTGCAAATAAACCCACATTAACTTAGTAACATTATATCCCCACATCTAAAGCGCTTCCAGGTATTCAACACTCAAAATATAATCTGTTTAACACAATAGTACTTAACCAGATATTCCTTTCCTCAAAACCTGTACCAAAAAATATCTGATCTTTTGATTATTAAAATGTAACAGCGTCGTTTTCATTTTAATTGTATATAAACCACATAATTCGTCTACTGCCATTTCAACCCATAATAATGCCAAATGGTAACATTTACAATCCAGGGATTAGTTTGATGATAATAATAATAATAATAAGGCCTGTTGTATAGCGCAACAATCCACACAATTAAGTATGTTCAAGGCGCTTAAGAGAAGGCAGGGAGGCAGATGGTATATTGAGTAATTTTGATATCAGACCAGATTAGACAGTGTATTGCTTGAATAGGTCGGTTTCCAGGAGTGATTTGAAGGAGCTCTGTCTCTACAGAGATTGGAAGATTGTACCAGCAGAAGGCAGCAGAACTGGCAAATGTCTTTGAGCCAAATGTTTTCAGCTTCAATGTAGGAACTTGGGGCTAGTGCTGATGGGCTGAGCGGAGACGTCTTGGTGGTTCACACCGATGTATCAACTCTGACAGATATTCTGGAGCTGTGTTAACACATTGATACGTTAGTGAGATGAGTTTGAATTATCTTTTCTCCTTTATTCGAAGCCAGTGCAGAGAGTTCAGCACTGGTGAGATATGCTCTGACTTTATCTTCTTCGCTATCACACGAGCTGCCGAGTTCTGAACCTTCTGTAGTCTCCTCAGGTTTTCGTTAGCGTACTGGAGACTATTATCAATCTCGAGACAACAAGCGATCTCATCCAAGTTGCAGCAGATTTGAATGACATCAGATGTCGGATGCAGTTTACGTTCCTGATGTGACAGAAACATTTCTTATTGATTTCGTTGATGCTTTTGTCCATGGATAGAGTATGGTCGAGGTAGATGCCGAGATTTTCACATTCTAAGCATAACTGATGCTTGCCTTACCGACATATATGTGCTGAAGAGTGATTTGATTCACTCTTGCCTTTAGGCCAAATAGTAAGGCTTCGGTCTTTTCCTCGTTTACCGGGACGGTGGGGTAGCAAAGTAGTTAAAGCGTTCGCTCGTCACGACGAGGACTCGGGTTCGATTCCCCACATGGGTTCAATGTGTGAAGCCCATTTCTGGTGTCCCCCGCCGTGATATTGCTGGGATATTGTTAAAAGCGGCGTAAAACCAAACTCACTCAGTCCTCGTTTACCATCAACATGTTCTTTGCCATCCAGGATTTTGCCGAATTGATGCAGCACTCCACCTCCGACATTGAGTCAGCTTGACTCTTTATGTTTATGTAAAGCGGTGCATCATCTGCATAGAAATGATGAGCTACATCGTTCACTGCAATTTGTTCTCCCTGAGGTTGGTTGTATAGCGTGAACAGCAGTGGTCCAAGAACTGAGCCTTGTGGTACTCCGCAGGTCAGGACTACTTCATCTGATGATGACGAGTGGATCAGTACTCTCTGCTCTCTATTCGTCAGGTAAGATGAAAACCACTGAAGAGCAGTGACCTCCGAGTCCCTACTGACTGCGGAGACGTGTTACCAGGATGTAGTGATCAATTGTATCAAACGGAGCACCAATAAGGCGACATCTCCGTTGTCAACGTACGTCCGTAGGTCGTTCACCACCCTATTCGTGCTGTGTGAGGTTCTGTACGCGGATTGAACTTTTCTTGTACGCCATGCTATTGAATATGCTCCATCCAGTATATTGGAGACAAATGGTAGGTTTGACAACGGCCGGTAATTCTTCAGGATGTTAGGGCCGAGTGTAGGTTTCTTTAGGAGGGGGAAGAACAACGACAGTTTTGAAATTCTCATGAGCTATACCATGTTCAAGGCTGCTGTTTACAATTTTGACAATTATAGGAAGAAATTATTCCTTGAATTTCATCAACAAAAGTGCAGGACATCGGTCTTATCTGGCTTTGAGGAAGCAAGTATATCGGGGATCTCCTTCTCGGTGAATGGTTTTATAAATATAAAAGATGTGTCGGGATATTTTCTCCTGTCAAAAACTCCTTTATCTGCACAAGATCTTTCGCCGCTCAACGGCTCTCCAGGGCCCCGTTCCTCAAAGCGATCGTAGCGCTACGACTGTCGTAAGTCCATGTTAAAGTATGGGAGATACGATCGTCTTAGGGTTACAATCGCTTTGAGGAACGAGGCCCAGGAGTACAATGAAAACTAAGCGTTGTAGTATCTATGTCGTCATCACGTGTATAATATTACAGTTAGTGACAATAGCGGGAGACGTAAACATAGCCATAGGTGAAAGAAAGCTTACACGTGTGACGTCATCATGTTTTTGACGTCATAGTAACAATAGCAGTAGACGAACATGAAACTTCGTACATTTTATAGTACATCATTCATCTTTTTTCCTTAACTTTACTTAGTAAACAGAAACTGTTATACAGTATATCATAATGTGTTGATGACATACAATTTAAAGTTCTGTACCTACTGGTATTCTTTCTGTAAATATGGTATATTCATCTAGCTAAATACTGTAACCTTTACAAATAAATAATACATGAAATTCATCTTCGATGAAAAATGTGTTTGATATTCACTCACGATATATATAGAGAATCTCACCCAAGTGTCTTCTGATATCAATTATATCAACACGAGTTGATAAAGTTACAAATATCCGAGGCTTGCCGAGGATATTTTTACTTTATCAACGAGTGTTGATATATTTGATATCAGAAGACACGAGGGTGAGATTCTATTTATCATTCAAAATCACTCTTCATTAATTTTCAATGAAAAATGTACATCTCTGAACATGATACTGCCATTAGACTTGCAGTGCAGCGATGTCATAGCATTGTGACGTCATCAAGTACATGACGTCATCACATTGTCAGGGCATTGTACAAAATCTACTGTCAAAACGATATCTCCTAGGAGATATCGTTTGATCTCACACAAGCGATATCTCCTGTGGAACACAGTTTTGGATGATAAACTGAGTTATGGACCTACCGTAAAGCGGCCCCGCGTTAAAGATGAAGTTGCCTTGAGTCTGGTTTTCAGACTTACTGGGGAAGGTGTAGCATAAGCCGTAGTCCTGATCAAAGGTCACTGTAAAGTTGCTGAAGCCAGAACAGAGACGGATGGAAACATTAAGTATGATTTCATCTTCTTGCTAAATAGCATGATAAAATATTTTGATTGAATGAATGAAATCTTCAAAACGAAATTTCGTCTATCTATATCAATTTCAGGGAAGCGGTCGGATTTCCATTGACAATATATAGCTAGGTTCCTCACCCGTTGTCGCAATCAACTCCTCCGAATGTGCAGGAAATGACGAAGCTCTCAAACTTCTGGGAAATCTCTTCAAGACCATCAAATGAGAAGCTCTGCATTTCCAACTGGAACTCCAGAATGGACTCATCCAGGGGATCATCAGCTGTACAAATACACACGCAGTCAGACTGGCGAAGAAAGCGGGAAACTAAGAGGATACAAATGCAGGCAGAGTCGGGTAGCTCTTGTGGGACAAACTAACAAGGAGATCGAGAAACTCAGGAGGACAAAGAGGCACTTAAAGTCATGGTGACTAGAGTGTTAAAAAATGTTGTGGTTCCGATTACACCTCTTTAAAATTTGGGGCAGGCTGGTAGGATTTATTCTGTTTCACATTTTTTTAGAAGTAAAGTTCAAACTAAAACACATTTATCAATGTATAATTGTTTATTCAATCAAGCTTGTCGACTTTCTCTGTCAGAATGACCGATGACCGATGTCCGCCGGGAAAAAACAATGGTATCTGAAAGCTTTTTCCATTTCATAATTTTTTAAAAATAGGGTCGGCACCAGAATTCAAGGGTTGATCGGGTAATCCGAACCACAACATGTTTTTGTAGTCAACACTGACAAAGATCCCAGGAAACTCAAGAGGTCACAAAGGCAGTTAAAGTTGGGGTAACTACTCTTTGACTCACTGACAATAAGATCGGGAACTCAAGAGGACACAAAGGCAGCTAATAGTCCAGTTTGAATTAAAGGAAAAAAAAATCACTGAACCTCAAACAATTTTAGTACAGAAATGGTTTTGTGTTTAAATCATTCAAAATGGTCATATGAACATAATATAAAAAGTCCTCCCTTCAATGTTGATGCAAAGTGACTTTTTTGGGGTGAAAATCATGAATTTGGATGATTTTTAATTTATTGTTATTTTTTTTAAAATGATAAAAGAAAAATGTATCAAACCTTCAGAAACATATTTCTTAGGTGTAAAAAATAATAAACACTAAAAAATATTTTTGAAATTATTAAAGTCATGGGTTTTGAACTTGAGTTTTGGATAATCAGTACAAGGCAAAAGGGGAAAATGAGAGTTATCCCCCTTTGTTGACACTGCAATGATGTTGCAAAATGGAAGAAACATGTTGTCTCTGCTGTGAACAGTTATTGAATGAAGATTCAGTTACCTTGACTGAAAAAGGATGTCAAGGTTTACGTAAAGCATCAATTGAAAGAGGTGATGAGCATTTTATTTTTACTTCCGGCCAAAAAATACATGCATCATATCGACGCTCATATATAGATCCAAAAAGAATTGCTGGAAAAAGAAAATATTTTGACAGTGTGACAGAGCGTACCCTACGATCATATGGTTTGGATTTTAAATTTAGTGAAGCCTGTTTGTTCTGTGGGAAATCAGTAAGTCAAACAAAGAGATTAAAACTTTTTAAAGAATCCTACCTTGTGAGAACTGCAAATTTTCAACGTGAAGTGTATGGCAAGTGTAAGGAAAGAAATGATGTGTGGGGAAAGACTGTTTTGTCTAGAATTGAATATTCGGGTGACCTACATGCCTCAGATGCAATTTACCACCAGAGTTGTAGTGTAAAATTTAGGACAGGAAAAGAACTTGGATCTAATGATTTATTAAAGAATAGGAAGGGAAGACAGAAGAATTCTGTCCGTGAATCTGCATTTCAGAAAGTGGTTGCATATTTAGAGCAACTGGTAAGGAACTAGTAACAGTGAGTTCTCTGGTTGACAAAATGAAGAATTTTCTGGATGAGGATCTGGAACCATTCAGTCACATTCACATGAAATCCAGACTAGCTGATCATTTTGGAGAAAATATTGTGATTGCTGAAAGTGATGGAAAAGCTAGCATTATAACTATAAGGGCAACAGCTTCCAAAGTTATTCATGATTTCTTTTCACTTCCCAAATGCGATGATCCTCAAATCGAGAAAGCGAAGATAATTGAAACAGCTGCACAACTGCTTAAAAGTGACATTAGAAATGCTTCTATTCCAACAGGTGTATTTCCATCACCCGATGAAATAATGTCTCCCGAAATGGGAATTTCATTTCTTCCAGAGCTCTCTTTGTTGGGAAGAACACCCTGACTAAGCAGGGTGCAATAGGACAAGCAATAATGCAGGCTGTAAGACCAAGGTAAGTTCTGTCACCCCTCCAACTAGCTCTGGGGGTTCAGTGTCATCACCTTTTCAGTTCTAGACACCTGATTGATACACTAAACGCTCTAGGTTTCAGCTGTTCTTACGCCGATGTAAAGACGTGTGAGCGCAGCGCATTTCTTGCTAACAACACCGAAATCCAAGGATACACAGAAGGCCAGTTCATCCAATTTGTTGCCGATAACATAGACCATAACATCAGGACCATAGACGGATATGGCACCTTTCACGCGATGGGGATTATTGTGGCTGCTACTCCAGGATCCAAGATACGTAGACATGTACCAAAGATAAAGGCAAAGATGAGGATCTCAAAGGCATAAGAACCATCAAAGTAATGTAGTACTGTCTCATCTGAAGTATGGCATGCTCTCTTAGATTGAATGTGATGACAAAACACCAAGTGTAAACATACTGTGGAAGACAGCCTGGCTGCTCCGTCCACTCATACTTTCATGGAATGGAACTATGCAAATGATATACAAAAATGGTACATTTCCTGGTCCAAGTTGCATTACCTTCATGCCAATGATCAACCTCAATCCTAATGATGAAAGTTGCATCTACACAACATTGCTGTTTGTAAGAGACCAGGGAAAGAAGTACAACGTCACTCCAGTACTCACTTTCGATCAGCCACTCTGGTGGAAAGCCACAAATATCATCTCCGTCGAACCCGATACAAGTTCATTTTGAGATTAGGAGGTCTTCATGTTGAAATGAATTTTCTAGGTTGCATGGGACAGATTATGTCTGACACTCTGTGCTCCGAGAACGCAGTCACCCATATGTTGACCGGGAAGGCCGTTGCCCGAGCGGTAAGAGGTCATGGACTTGTGGACATGGCTCTACAATCTTTGCTGGTATCTCAAACATTTGACGTTGAACTGAACAGGACTGATGATGGACCTGACCCAACTGACAGTGATGACACGGAGCAAGAATCACATGGCACTGGAAGTAATGATCAGGAACCCGCACAGATTGCACAAGATACAGAAGCTGTAGATATATGGAAACCAGAAAATGATCTTTTGTCTAGTGCAAGGTATTTGATGAGATCGTAGCTGGAAAATTGGACCTTGGGGTGGCATGCACATCCCCTTTGTTGACAATCGTGACTGAGCGGTTAAATAAACACTGCAGTGCATAAGTAAAGGGAGAATTGCAAAGCTCTGGCTGCATGGTAGAAATCCTCAGAACATTCATTAAAGCAGAAAGAACAGGTGATTGGTTACTCCATCTGAAAACACTGCAACACATGTTGCTATATTTTGCAGCTGCAGGCCATAACCTTTACCTGAAATCAGTGTATGTATACCTGAAGAGCATGCAAAATCTGAAAGTGTCTAATCCACAGGCATATGACTTATTCATGCATGGGCATCATGTCCTGAGACGCAGCGTTCGCTTTTTGGCGGGTCTTTTCTACAGATTTGGTCATTGAACAAATTCTCATGACAAGCATGAAAACTGCCGGTGGTTTGACACGAGGACGTGTTATGTCTGAGGTTAGTTTGGTCACTCTCCCGCCCGTCTTGTTCGGAAATGAATGAAGCAATGCAGCAGCTCACAGGACAAACATACAATACAAGTGAACAGCACAAGGAGAGCAGCAATGCAAGGCAGCAGAGAGATCGGAAGGACACAGAAGCCATAACTGTATGTCACTGACAGAAACCCATTTGATATGGAGGTATTGAAGAGCATTTCAACTGGTGTGATCTCTGCTAATAGTAATGTTGATGAAGTTAAAGATGTAGGGATGAAGATTCTAGACAAGATGGAAGGGCAGATTGTACAGGATTTCACATTCTTGAAAGACTAGATTACTGTCATGAGTGACAACACACATGTGGAAATTGAAGGGGAACCAGCCAAATGTGATGCTCAACTTTTGTTTCAGAGACTTATAACAGCAGCCGAAGGTTCTGTTTCAGAAAAAGATTTAAGGTCTCTGTTCACTTATGAACTGTGTACTTACCCTCCTTCCCTGTTTGAGTCACCACATCTGCTCAGAGAAGCTGACAAGTCTGCCTTAGCAGATGCAATTCGAGTGAAAGTCAAAACTGGTGGCACAGAACCAGGAGTCGGTGAAATGAAGTTTGTAATAGATGGTGGTTGTCTCCTGCAGTGGTTACCATGGCCACGGGCTTGTACCTATGATCAACTTTGTGTCATGTATGCAGAATTCGTTCGAGGCAAGTATGGTAAAGCTATAGTTGTTTTGATGGTTATGATAAAGGCCCAAACACAAAGGACAATACTCATCAGAGGCGTGTAGGGGGATATGTTGGAAATGAAGTTCAGTTCACCAAGGACATGATCCTGAGAGGAAAGAAAAAGACATTTCTAGCTAACTCCAAAAACAAACAGAACTTCATCGACATGCTGAGTGACAAACTCAAGGAATATGGTATTGACACAATCCATGCGCCTGCTGATGTTGATCTCCTCATAGTCAAGACTGTTGTCCAACAGGAAGCAATAACGAGAACAACATTGATCGGAGATGATACAGACTTGCTCATTTTACTCTGCTACCATGTTTGCATGGATTCCTTAAGAGTCTATTTCTCACCAAGGTCCAAACCAACAACAAAGAAAACATCCATATATGACATCCAAGAAACAAAGGAAAAACTGGGAAAGAGTATATGCAAAGACATTCTGTTTCTGCATGTAATCTTTGGATGCGACACAACTTCGAAAGTTTTTGGCATTGGAAAAATATTGCTGCAGTATTTGACAAACATCCAGCTGATGTCACAAAGAATGAGATTGAACATGCCGGTGAAGAAGCTTTGCTCCATCTTTTCAAAGGTGAAAATAGTCACAGCCTTGACAACTTGAGGGTTGAGAAATTCACTGAAAAGGTAGCCAAGAGTTTCACATTTGTGGATCTAAAGAGTCTTCCCCCAACATCTGAAGCAACAAGATATCACAGCTACGGGGTATTTTTGCAGATTCAACAATGGAAGGGACAGAATGGGTATCTAAACCCAATTGACTGGCGTTGGACAGTAGATGGGAAGTGTTTGAAGCCTCTTACAATGAACAAAGTACCTGCTCCGGAATCATTGTTGAAAGTTGTCAGATGTGCATGTAAGAAAGGGTGTCAAAGTTCAAGTTGCAGATGTAGGAAAGTTGGACTCATGTGTAGTGTAGCATGTATAACATGCAAAGGGGCCAGCTGTGAAAATTCTGCAAAACCAGACATTGATGAAGAAGAATGCTGTGACCACCATTGTTGAGAAAATATACCAAGTCTTCAGGTAACCATAGTTGTCAAACCGATATTGTGACACTTAACATGTTCATTATGTCATCTGTAAATGCATGTGCCATTAAGATTAGTGAATATTTGTCAATATAAAATACTGAAATTGAAAGAAGTTACTTCATTTTCAGTTAAAACCATAACTTTGATGACACAAAAAAGTAACTAACGTAATCTTAGGATGTTGTACGTTTTTCCTTAAAAATTAAAGAAAAATAGTAAAACATCAATTATTTTCTTATTTACCCCAGTTTATATTACTTTTCCGACCACTTTATTGGTAGTAAATTCTCTTCTCTCTAAAACTCAGTAAAAACAAAAAGTTTGTGTCTCAATTGAGTATTGCAAAAACATCCCAAAAAATTCAACTTTTTCAACATTTTTACCCCCAAAATCAGGTGTAGCATCATGATTGGTAGGAGGACCTTTTTATTTCTTTTTGATATAGACTTTCACAAGCTGAAAACGCAAAAGTCATTTCTGTACCAATTTTTGGGGGGTATTTTCATATTTTGACTTTACTATAAAGTCTGTGTAATTACTGTGTAACTCACTGACAATGAGACCATTATATTCAATACTAGCTACAAAAAGTACCTGAACATCGTAAAATCAAAATATATATTTGGACTACATAAATACACATGTAAACACAATAATTTCTGAATTGAACCTCGTGGAACAGACGAATGTCAAAACCTTGGTGTCGAAAATACAGGTGTGGCTTAGATACGATTCTCGGCAATGGCAGTTACGTTTTATACCTTGTACATCAGTGTTTCAACTGTTATACGTTGTTCTTGTGGATAGTTAGTGAGGGGGTATATTTAGACTTGTACTAGATTTAGACAGGAAGTTCTGGAATATGCTACCGTGTACCACAACTCAACGCTTTGTTTTAGAATTTTCCAGCCAGTTATTGCATCTCATACCACATCACATCTGTGTGTGATGATCATGCATTGTCCAATTGTTTGTTAGATTACTATTGCCGAGGGGCCAATGTTATCAGCATTGTCCTTATTGCTATAATCAGTGCTCCTGTATTGCCGAACTTCTGCATCCATAGTGCCACCAAACTTTGTACTGCCACAGTAATACCTTTATATTGATATTTGTTGATTTGTGAACGTAGCCAATTTTGGAATAAAACTGTTAATTAGAGCACATTTCGTGGTTGTTTTTGGTTTCACACCTATTTTTCACCTCTTACAAACTCTTTAGTCTCAACTTGGGAATCTACATTTAACAATCGTCATGGCCAGGGATTAACATTCCAGTAGGATACGTGGGCATACTGTGGGCATATCCATTATTGACCCTGCCTCGAATTTGAACTCGTAACGTGAATGTCGTGGACATTAAACGTGTGTCTTCACAATGTACATTTTTTGTGTGGCTTGTGTAGATAAAATATGGTAAATAGTGCAGAGGGATATAGGCCATAAGATTCTGTAGAAGTGCTGAGTGCTGCTGTACAAAACAATCGTAGAGCTAAGGTGATCGTTACTCCCATGCCTGAAATTAAACTGATATACTTCTCAGGTTGCTTTGTAAAACGGCACCCTGAGCAGTAAAGATTCTTTATAGTCTGGAGAAACTGCTGTCACACCAGGGCTGCTACCTCAGCGTCCATGAAAATTCCCACTGCGTCCATTAAAAATGCACAACGCCGAGGTGCGCGCAGTAGGGTCTCCCACCGCAACGTGGTGGTATCTCCATTTGACGCGATGGGGTCGCCTAGTAGGCGCCGTTGCCCAGCGTTCTGACATGCGCGCGGTAGGAACGCCGTAGAGTCGCCGTAGCAGCACAGTAAGGTGTGCTACAGCGCAACAGGAGCTCTGTGGGCGTGCTCCACGGACGTGCATGACCGTAGTACGGACGCAGTGGTAGCGGGCGGCGCTTGCACGGAGACCTCACGGAGGCCTTATAGCGTCTCTGGCGCTTTCACGGAGTGTGAGTTATTTTACTGCGCTCTCACAGCGACTATACGGAGCTGCCACGGCGATCACAGCGCTCCCATCAGCGTTGGCATGGCGTTTACAGGGCGTTGCCTGTGCGTTGTGAGCCAACCCCATAAAAATGGTATAAATGTCTTATCTTTGTCACCCTCATTTCACCATGACTGTTCTACGCCAGCAAGCCGGGCTTCTTGTTGCCTGTGTGCAAGCTTGTTGGGTAGGCCGATAGCGCAGTGTACGTGCCATGGCCGCACAGTGACAACTCCTAGCACTCCAATCTGTGAGAACGTAGTCAATCGCCAACTTGAACTCAATGTAAAGCACGCCCCATTCGCCGCGAAGACACCGTGACATCTCCATCTTGTGAAAATTTTAAATAAAAGTGCAACGTTTCTCAGAATGTTCCGCCGCGATGACACCGTGACATCTCCATCTTGTGAAAATTTTAAATAAAAGTGCAACGTTTCTCAGAATTTTCCTCCTCTCTGAGAAATATCACAACATGATGCCTTCTCCACAGATACGCAGTAGAGTGATAGAGGGTTTAGTGCTGAACAACGCTAACATATTGCAGTTTGGTGCCCAAAGGAAGAGGAGCATAAGTTTCATTTCGGACATAGCAGGATGTGCACAGTGAACAATAGGTTCTTCTTACAGCACGTCTGTAGTCGACACTGATATACTCACTTTGGAAGTTGACATCGGAGAAATTGTAATTATCACTGGATGGAGCCTGCAAAGGCATGAATAGGTTCATGTGGCGGCTCTCAGGGGACACATAGCATAACTATGCTATTTACACTTCCTGTATTTTCTAATCAATCTTATGGTCCCTTTGGAAAAGTCTTATATATAAGAACATACAATCAGAGGAATATTGGTTTGTAATACCAGTTGTTTTCATTCTAATTTCCAGTCGGTTAGCTTCTACAAGTTGCGTTAGCAATAATATGTTGGTAAATACATTACGTTTATACAAAGAGCATTTTATTGTGGCTTTAACTTATAATAGGTCATCTTTTGATGTTTACATTTCACATCTTTTGAAGTACAGTCGAACCAGATCTTTCTACGGAGATCTTAAGAACGTCATACGACATTCACTGACCTCAGTGATGCTTTTAAAACGCTTTATGGTAGACATGTGCAAGTCATTTTCAAATCATTTTCATGTCATCAGTGACAAAACTCATGTCCGACGTAAATCTCCCTTTTGGACTTGTACCATATGTTCCCCTGTTATTGTTTTTCAGATGAGTGAGTGAGTGAGTTTAGTTTTACGCCGCTTTTAGCAATATTCCAGCAATATCACGGCGGGGGACACCAGAAATGGACTTGACACATTGTGCTCATGTGGGGAATCGAACCCGGGTTTTCGGCGTGACGAGCGAACGCCCTAACCACTAGGCTACCCCACCGCCCCGTTTTTCAGATGAAGAAATAAGTAGTGTCTGTATGAGTTCTTGACAGGTACCACTGGTAGGGCAAGGTACGAAGATTTATTTTGAATGTGAATTTATATGTACTTACAGCGTCAGTGTTCGTGAAGTCGGACAGCGGAACGTTCAGGTATTTGGCCACTCTTTCAATGACGTGGTACATGTTGTATTTGCTCGCCTCTGAGTTGAGGACCGGGTTGAGGTTGCACATGGTGACACTAGGGAATGTCAACTGGGTGTTCTCTATGGACGTCTGCGTGTTCACTGGGCGCCTGAAGAAAGACACAATCATACAGACTGAGTAACAAACAATTTAAACACATATTTACATTTTCTCTTGAGGATCTGTATGAATGGGAATTTTGGCTGGTTTACTTTCAGGGTGTGGGGTGGTGGGGTAGCCTAGTAGTTACGGCTCCCTCAGATGCCATCCTTATCTGGCTTGCTGACGGGGTTAAACTCTGGTCTTATGGACAAGGCGTCCAACTTCGGATCTTATGGCCGTTATAGAAGGGATATATGCATGTTACCGTATCCCGATTGCGTAGATGAGTGAGTGAGTTTAGTTTTACGCCGCACTCAGCAATATTATAGCTATATGGCGGCGGTCTGTAAATAATCGATTCTGGACCAGACAATCCAGTGATCAACAGCATGAGCATCGATCTGCGCAATTGAGAACGATGACATGTGTCAACCAAGCCAGCGAGCCTGACTACCTGATCCCGTCAGTCGCCTCCTACGACAAGCATGGGTTACTGAAGGTTCATTCTAGCCCGGGCCTTAACGGGTTTGCGTAGATAAATGGTTGTTATGCTAATCACTGGGTTGTCCGATCCAGGCTTGACTATTTACCAACCACTCTCATATAGCCTAAGTTTTCTCAAAACACACTGTATTCCAGTAAACGGAGTAGCACCCAACACCAAAGGAGTTTATGATTCAGAAATGAGCTCACATCTGCTGCCTCATTGACTTTGGTATTGTGTTTCAACCCAACCACATAGCAACCTTTCATCCGATTTAACATCCATACACTCGTGTGTTTGCTTGTCTCAGACAAGACCTATCTGCTTTGTTTTTTCTTGTTTTGCTAACGATTAGGATCTGATGTAAGGACGATAGAGTTCACTGAGTACAAACAAGCAAGTCGGAACTTCCAAAGGTCAACACGGCCGTGCATTAATGAAGCAGACCATTTTGAAAAAGGTTCAAATTGATATAAATCATGTTTCAATCATGTGTGAAACAAAATCTCGATAATACGTCCTTCTGTGTAGTTTTGCTTGTTATACAAATATATTATATTATATGATAGCGCACATAACCAAGCAACTAGTACATGCTCGATCATTGGATGTCAATCTCAACGGAACATCGTATTACATGTATCAATCTCAACTCTCTCGAGAGTATACAACTCTTGCTGCCACTAGGCGCACCGAGTTATTGTGGCTTTCTCATCCTTACAAGGTACCCATTCACAGCTGGACGGGCTGGGACACATAGTCACAGTACTTTGTCCAACTTCACTGCACGTTGCTGTACCCGCAACTAGGTGTTTGCACGTATTCATATGGCCACCATCTGGTCATTTACCAACGGATTCGTGGGTTCTTTTGAGTGCACAGGTTTGTGTACTGCACACTAGGGGTTGTGACAACACTAAAAGAGTCTGCACACAAAGTTGACTCTAAGGTTTTTACACGCGGTCACAACTTGATCACTAGCCTGGCGCCTTAGACAGCACGATCACCACGCCCCCCCGAATCTATTGACTGTGCAAGTAGACATTTCAGATAATGGAGAATCGGAATAACAAGGTCTGTTTTCATGCTCTCTACGGTAGCAATCGCATTGACAAAAAATAACCCCTTATTGTTTTGTCACCAAAACATCTCTTCCAACGATAAACCGTAAATACAAGTCAGATTATATATTTACCATACAGCTTTTATAAGGGCACAGTCTGGGCTAAGATGTTTTAACTTGTTCACTATCTACAAATCCCAATCAAAATTCTGCTGTATAATGCATTTGGTTATTTACCGACCAGATTTTGCCAAATACGTAACAACCTACGGGCGTTGGGGTAGCCTAGTGGTTAAAGCTTTCGCTCGTCACGCCGAAAACCCGGGTTCGATTCCCAACATGGGTACAATGTGTGAAGCATATTTCTGGTGTCCCCCGCCGTGATATTGCTGGAATACTGCTAAAACTAAGCTCACTCACTCACTCTTCCCCCCACCGTGCAAAATCAGACAATAGGGTCAATGACAATCATTTGGCTCTTTGGACATGTACGGAAATTGCCAATCACTGACTCATAGTCTGATAAAGCAATCCCAGTGAGTGAGGGAATTTGGTTTAACGCTGGTTTGAACAGTATCCCAGTTATATCACGGAGTTAAACAATCCGATAAATATGTTTAATCTCCTTGAATTTCTTCATCTGATTTCACAATGAACTTTGGACTAACGGACCCAATAAGTTTATGTGAACTGACGGCAAAAAGAAACTTTACCACATTAAGTGAGTGATTGAGTTTAGTTTTACGCCGCTTTTAGCAATATTCCAGCAATATCACGGCTGGGGACCATAGAAATGTGTTTCACACATTGTACCCAAGTGGGGAATCGAACCCGGGTCTTCGGCGTGACGAGCGCACGCTTCAACCACTAGGCTACCCCACCGCCCCTAACCACTTTAAAATGAAAATGCAAAAAATATAATAATAGTTGCAACCAATGCAAAACGCATCGTAAAAACACAATAATGCTCCATGCAGAAGAGCCAGTCTTTTTTTGTGCAAAGGCCACATAAAATAATTCCTTGTTACTCAGTACCGCCTGACCATAATTTGTTTTGTTTTATATTTTCTGCACTGGTAAATTTTCATGTGTAAGGCCGGTAGACTTCTGAAATCCGTCTCAGCTTCCGGCATTCGACTAACATTGTATAGAAAATCAGAAACAAAATATTTAAAAATAAAAAAATAATTCGCAGTACCTACCCAATTATTTTTTTAAAAGCGATCAGAAACACGAAATTTATTGTATGTGGCCTAAATGTGAAAAGTGGGTAGCGCCTGTAGCTTGGACGGCAGTTGAGACACTCACACTGATTAAAGAACAACACTGATGAAATACCACGTCTGGCCGAATTAAACCAGCGGACCATGTCTATAAATACGGATACAATCCACCCATGACCGCATTGCAGAAACGTTTAGTTGCTCACATGTTGCTTTTACTAATCTTATTCAGCGTTGCAGACAGCCCGTAATGACATTAGCCTGACATCGAACGGGCGAACCCAGGATAACTGCGCTCAACGAAGACCGAATGCCTTGCATCTCTGGAATCAATTCCTGGCAGTGACGTCAAAAGCGACGAATGCCTTGGGGACTTACAGACCTTACAGATGGCAGCTATTGACAGCGCACCATCGTCGTAGGTATTGAGATGTGTCCGGACTGCACGGCGACTGACGGCATCGGGAATTGCGTAGATCGATGCGCATGCTGTTGATCACTTATTTTTCTAGTCCACACTCGATTATTTACAGACCGCCGCCATATTGATGGAATATTGCTGAGTGCGGCGTTAAACAACAAACCAACTACCAGCCTTTCTAAATATTCCACAAGTATCTCTGCAGGGGGACACCAAAAATGGGCTTCACACATTGTGCCCATGTTGGAAATCAAAATTGGGCCTTAGGCACAACGAGCGAACGCTTTATAAAGGAGAATACTGGAAATATGCAATTACTGGCTAGGTTAAAGATATGGTCATCACAAATATGTACCCCATTTTTTATTGCAAAAGTATTATTAAATATATTTCAATCACGAAAACAGTTTTACAATCATGACGTCATATGTGACGCCTTGATGCCTAAAACCAAGCGGTACAGTAAAAATGGAAACCGCATTTTTCTGTCGTTTGTGTAATTTGTAAGATGGGTTATTATGTTGGCTGGGGTTGCACGGCGTCATCGGACAATGGAAATAAGCCTGGGGGACGTTTTGGTGGCACCGTTACGACATCACCGTTACCGTAGACCATTGATTTTATACAAAAATAATTCATGTTCATTTCACAATATTCCATTTATATTACATCATTACATGTTACAACTTACAGTCTGTGGTATTTGTAACATTTATTAAATCAAGTCCGATTGTGATGAAATATATATAATTAATTTCCCATGAGCATGACAATGTTTCGCTATATAACGTTCATTCCGGTTTGGAGCCCCAAATACTATATCCTACAACAAACAAACCAAACCATACCTAACATTTCTACAAGAGTTGTCACGTGGTATCCTTTGACAGTATGACGACGCCTGATCCCGTACTGCTCATATTGTACAGAACGTCCTTGTATCCAACAACGTCAGCATCAGCGTATTGCACGCTGATCAGATATGTCCCCAATGGAACACCTCTGTAAAGTCATCTATCAGCCAACCGACAAGAACTAATCCAGGTCCTTCAAGAAGAATAACGACGCATCCAACGTGACGTCATCAAGCGACTGACTTTATCTCTGCGGAGAGTTTCATCTCTGTGTTCGTGTCTTGAAGCTTGAGTGGTCATACACGCTAATGTGATCTGTCATTGAACATTTCAGATATGTTCGAACGATGCTGTAAGCTTGTTTTTGCTAAACCTTATGAACTGTCATGTGTATGATTGTCATTTGTTTGGTGATTTCGTTGTAATATTTTGAATAGATTTTACTTCATTTGTTTGCTTTTGAGGGGTTTAAATTACATTGATTGTGGTCAGTTTAGATACACTTGCCGGCAAATCCTGACGATAAATTTGGCGATGCACTCAAGCGCTGTAGTGATACTCGGTTTCTAAAATTGCCCTAACATCGCTTATTCTAAGCTGAAACATTCCATATAGAACATATCAATTGTTAGATAAAAGAGCAACCACAATAGCAATAATAATCATTTCAATTTGAGCTATTTGCCCATAATCTCCCCAGGGTTATACGTCTTTATGTCATTGCTTGATCCTCAAATTACCTTCGCCATGCTTGTCGTTTTGTCTCACAGACCTACCAAAGAAACCTTTCCCACTGTGCAGAACATTAGAAAGATTGTTTTCAACAAAGTTTGTCGATTCCATTTATGCGAACCATGATGATGACTGCGCAGACCTGGATGTCATTCCAGAAACACAAGCAAGTGAGGAGGATAGTGATGTTCCGCGTTTTGATTCGCATCGCGTGCGAGAAGGCGGCGATATTTGCAACTGGAGGACGTATTTGTTTGTGGTGATGCCAAAACGAATAGTGATAGGGCGGCGATGTAGAAAGCGAGAGTGTGGCGAAACGAAGAGCGAAAGGATGGTGGTGTCGAAAGCAAAAGAACGGCGATATAGAAAGTGAAAGGATGGCAAAACGAAGAGTGAAATGACGACGGTGTCGAAAGTGAGAGGACGGCGATGTCGAAAGAGCGAGAGGGCAGATGGACTACTGGAATCGCAAAGAAAGAGACCATGCAAACAAAAGTTTCCCTATATACTCAAATGTTGAGTGGAGGCTGGATCAGGGCCTTCCCAAGGGCTCTGATTTTTAAATTGACCCCTTGGGAGGGGCCTGGTCCCGTACCATCATTGTCTATACTACTACTGCAGTATTTGGGGCTGCAAACCGGAAAGAACGTTATAGCGAAACATTGTCAAGCTCATAGGAAATACTGATTTTAATAATATATATTTCATTACAATCGAACTTGATTTAATCAATGTTACAAATACCACTGACACTAAGTTGTAACATGTAATAATGTTGTATAAATAGAATAGTATGAAATGAACATGAATTACATTTCTAGAAAATCAACGGTCTACTGGAACCGTTATGTCGATTGAAAACTGCCACTAAAACTATTTCCCTCGACCGTGGTGCCTATTTACCTTGTTCGATGACGCCGTGCAACCCAAGGCAACACAGTACCCCTTCTTACCAATTACAAAAACGACAGAAAAAGAGGTTAACATGGTTTTAGGCATCATGGCCGAACTAAGTCACATATGACGTCACGGGTGTAGAAGGTAACATGAGTTCACGGACTTGATAGCGGAATATGCATAATGGCCAACGCTGAGATACCAGAAACCGTTTTCGTGATTAAAATATAAATAATTATACTTTAGCAATAACAATTTTTGGTACATGTTTCTGATGTACGTATCTTTACCAAGCTATTTGTTGCTAAATTCTAGTATTCTCCTTTAAAGCGTTCGCTTGTCATACCCAAGGCCCAAGTTCGATTTCCAACATGAGTACAATGTGTGAAGCTCAATTCTAACTCGTATCTTCACGGGTCCTGCACGAAGGGAACAAAACGACAATCAACTCAGAGTAAGAATATTTGGTCTGAGCGGGGTACCCATGTTTGCTACGGGTTGGTGTGTTTATTGTTATAAAACCGTCATTTGTCCGTTCATACACCAAAAACGTTCACACCAAACAAACACAATTTGAATGAAGACTGACTCACCTCTTATACTGATTTATCAGCCCGAAAACCTGGTACACTATCATTCCTGTTGCACCCAGCAGCAGCAGCAGCCACATCAACTTCAGCAAGATGCCATTTTTATCGGTTAACTTCGAGATACCATGGGCTGAGGTATTGCTGGCGAAGTTGGTCAAGATGTTCTTCGTTGGGGCTCGACCTTGACTCGACATTCTTTGTTCGCTGTCCTGACTATTGTATAAAAATGTTCTTCTCAAATGTCTGTTCTTCTCGGCTCAACCTCAATAGCAACCCTGAACTCTTTCTGTGTGTACCATCTTTCTCCAAGACGATCCCTATGCTTTGATCTCAGAGTTTCTCTGACTATGTTCAATGCTTATCTGAGCAATCGCAACTGCAGGTGACAGTGGTCTGTCGTAGGGATCTCAACCATACGAAACCGGCTATTCTCAGTCCACTGTTCCGCAACAAAAAGAAGTTCCAAGATACGTCAGTTCAGATTACACATCCTCGGGTGTGATCTTCCGAGAAGATCGATCTTACAGTTGACCAGATACAGATACAGTCCATTACCCTTCACAAAGTGAATTCTGATCAGCTCACATTGCGAGGTACCTATCACATTGCTGAACACTATTGTAAATGAGATAAAACAGTGTGTATGTATGTTTTGATTTGATTTTATCACGTAATCTATAGCCAATTGGACACGTCTAGGCGAGAACCATTTTGCTACGTATATTGGACGAGTCCATGTCAATGGCAAATTAAATTTCAAACTGTTTTAAGTAAGACAACATTTACATCAACACAGCCTCGAAAAGAATAACTTTACCAGTAAACAGTTTAATTGATTCTGCCTGATGAAACAGCGAATAGAACGCTGAGTATGAAAAATACGCATTATAATTTGAAATAGATGTTTTTAATTTGAGGAGTCAAGGTAGATTGATTTTTCTTACCTTCGGGAACGACGACAAGATCTGTAATTGTATAGCGGATGTCCTGCCAAAGTAAAAACCAACCGATGTATAAAATAGGTTTCATTGTTGTGTATATTTACTGTGAAACATCTGCTTGCCGAACCTGCTGACATTTTATTGTTATTGTCAGTTGCTTAAATTTTTAAGTATGCTTTTAAGATATAAGAGTACATTCCAATTATTCCTCCACTAGATATGACAGATGAGAATTATTATATATTAATACAGAGTTTTCTTTTCAAATACATGTCATCAAAAGAATGTACAATTCAAAATTTGCTAAGGATGAAATATAATCACAGAAAAACATCCGGGATGAAAACTGATCGCCGAGTTAGGCAAACGCATGGGTATGCCTGACACGTGGTCAGCGTAGGTTACAAACGTCTTTAATGGTGGGGTTAAAGAGTTCGCTCGTCACGCCGAAGACACGTGTTCGATTCACCACGTGGGTACAATGTGAGAAAACCATTTTTTGGGTCCCCTACCGTGATATTGTTGACATATTGCTTAAATCGGCTTTAAGCTAAACTCACTCACTCACGCTTTAATGGCAAACATTAATGTTCTACGGGGCTTAGAGTCGATATCGATACCTAACGTTTAGACCAGCTACCAAGCGACGTGCAGATGGTATTCTACTTTCCACCACCATGTTGGAAGACAGGTTTCTCTTGATTGTAGTAAGACGTCGTAACTTCATGATTGCCACTACACTCAGAAATGACCTGCGGAACGCCAGTAGCGTTTGGGTCCAAATATCGGCAGCCGTGTCCGTGAGGGCTAGCATTCGCATCCCACTTATCGGACAGGTACACGTGAATTGGGCAGACCAAGTCTGGGCTCCAGTACCTTCACTGATGAATCGGGATACACGATACTGCATTCTGGACATCACAGATCGCCATGCCCCAGTGTTTGGTAGACAAGGGTAAAAGATGAAGGATTTCAGCGCCGCCAATCACGATTTGGAGTGGAATGAGTATAAATGGAAGAACAGATTTACATGCCCCGCAGCAGGACACGACAGGGAGGACATTCTGGATGTGTATGTTGGTGACACTGTATACTGGTGGAATTGGCCTCGACTTCATCATCATAGACGATAACGCATCTCGTCGTGCCAGAGACGTTAATGAGATCCTAGTGTGCGCATGGAGAGGTCAATCCGATTTTCCACAGTTAACCCTATGAAACGCATGCGTTCAGAACAGTGAAAGAAGTTATTGCCAAGAGTGTGTGAGTGAGTTTAGTTTTACGCCGCACTCAGCAATATTCCAGATATGTGGCGGCTGTCTGTAAATAATCGTGTCTAGACCGGACAATCCGGTGATCAACAGCATGAGCATCGATCTGCGCAACTGGGAACCGATGACATGTGTCAACCAAGTCAGCGAGCCTGACCACCCGATCCCGTTAGTAGCCTCTTGCGACAAGCATGGGTTACTGAAGATCAATTCTAACCCGAACCTTCATGGGCAGTTATTGCAAAGAAAAGAATATGAATACACAGTTCCTTTAGATAAAATGTCAAAGATAGAAAATGTCGTTGAGTACTAGACTTTGTACTGTATTACAAAAACGTTATCTCAGTAATGACATGTGCTCTTATGTTTGTGTGTCTTCTTAACAGAAGTCTGAAATCCATTGTGTGTGTGAAGGAAACTATAGTCCGTTTGGGTTCAAATGAGAACGATGTATGATTAAATAACTCGAAATTTGGATAATTGCACAAAACATAAATAAGACACATGGTCCTGAAACCTCTGTACCCAACAGGGTCTGAAATCTGACGTTGTTTGATCGATCATGGAAAACGTTGTTGAAGAAACCATCATGTAATATTGTGCTATTTTCACGCTTCACACCGAGGGGTGACAAACGGCTAGTGGAACAGAACAGGTACACAGTTAGGTGCAATTCAAAACAGCCAGGTGAGATGACCTCAGCTAGTCAAGCGCTGTTCCATCGGCCGTTTAATTTGTGCAATTATCGAAATTTCGAGTTATTTAATCATTTGTCATTCTCATTTGAACTCAAACAGACTAAATGAATCAACACAATTTCAGTGACGCCATGCAGTGTAAGATATCTCGACAAAAAGTTGAATGTATTGTATGATGCCAGGGATTGAGTTTTTTGAATTGCAGTAATATAGTGATAATCACAGATTGTCGAGAAAAGGCAAAGGTACCCCACCAATGTCACCCGTCACAAACGCATGCAATGGCGAGTGAGTGGTTGACATGTTGTTTCACTAACTGATGTTATAGTAGTTATTTCAGATAAGAGCGTCATTCTTCGCTAAATAGTAAATTGTGTAATAAAATTGTATTCTGCCTGCATTTTCAGTTATGTAACACATATTTCACAATTACAGGGGACCCGTGAAGATCCGGGACAGAATAGGTCTTCAGCAACCCATGCTTTCCACAAAAAGGCGACCATGCTTGTCGTAAGAGGCGACTAACGGGATCGGGAGGTCAGGCTCGCTGAATTGGTTGCCACATGCCATCGGTTCCCAATTGCGCAGATCGATGCTAATGCTGTTGATCACTGGATTGTCTAGTCCAGACTCGATTATTTACAGACCGTCGCCATACAGATGGAATATTGCTGTGTGCGGCGTTAAACAACATCCAAACAAAACCACCATTCACCATTCCCGTACAGACTAATGCATGAATGAATACCCACAAACTGCTACCTTTACTACAGATGTGATCGGGTACAATTTGAGCCCCGAGGAACTCACTCACTCACTCACAATTACAGGCGGCGGTAATTCTAGCTACTCACTGCTGTAAATGTAAACATTGGCACTGATCGTCTGGAGGCTGGGGAGTCTCCATCTAGCGTTTCACGTCACCTCTATGTTCCTCAGAGTACCATCAGTCGTTTATGGGACCGATATCAATAAACTCATTCTACGCAAGATCGGCCTCGAAATGGTAGACCTCGGATTACCACTGCAGCGCAGGACAGGTACATCCGGGTACTTCTTTTGCGGAATCAAACTGTCACAGCAACTGCAAGTGCAGTGCCTGGTTTGAGGAGAGTGTCGGCGCAAACCACTCGTAATCGTTTACGAGAAGCTGGATTTCGAGGAAAACGACCTTAGTTTGGACCTGTGCTGCGACGACTACATGGTTAACTGACGACTCACGCTTTCTGCTTCAGCGCCGTGACGGAAGAGTACGTGTCTATCGACGTCGAAATGAACCTTTTGCCCAGAATTGTGAAGCCCAGGTTGACCGATAAGGTGGTGGGAGTGTCATGATATGGAGAGCCAGATTCTAGACGCAGAAATCAAACTTGTGCGCCTTCAGTGCAATTTCACTGCTATCATTACAGAAACGAAATCTTAAGGGTTCGCATGGTTCCGATCATTGACAGTTGTTCCAGCAAGATCGTGCCAAGCCTCAAACAATACTCGGTATTTTCAGAATGAGAACGTTACAGTTCTTCCATGGTCTTCCAAATCGTCCGACCTAAGCCCCATCGACCATTTGTGGGATGACCTCGGCCGCCGCGCACGTCAACGTCAACCGGCGCCCCAGAAATAAACAAGGTCGAATTAAAAAAAGACTTATTCAGCCCATGCCGAGACGGTGCAGATCAGTGTTTGGGGTTCAAGGTGGCCGCAACAGATATTGATGACAAAGCCCAACTTGGAATGGGCGCCTTCACTTATTGAACCTTTGATAAGTTATACACGTTAACAGACAGTTTATACTGTGACATTTGGCTGCAACTGATCAAGAATTGCATGTGTTATGAATGGCGACGATTGGTTAACGCCCCAGCCATCCCCCCTCCTCCTCCCCAAAACCCTTCCGCCTACCATTACCCTAAACAAGAGCGTCTGCATGACCTGGTCATGACAATTGATGGAACAGGAGTTTAGAGATGCCACAATGTATCTTGTATTTAAGTCATATTAAAGTCACATAATACATTGACCATATGGGCAGGATGGAAACGCCTTCAACCAATTTTGAAGTCTCATCAGTAAAGATTATGAAATCCTTGAAGAAATGAAGAGGTTTCAAATCAACTTTTAAATATCACACAAATTACGTCTTTTTATTCAGGATTAATCTTCAACGTCAGATTAAAAAATTCCAAAAGACAAGTCTTTTGTGAAAAAATTGTAATATTTATCAGCAATATTCCAGCTATATGGCGGCTCTTGGTCTGGACCAGACAACAATATCGGTAACATGCAATGACATGACATGACATTGTTTTACATATCAAACTTCAATTTATGTCGAGCTTATGACGTTTGACTGTATGTTAATAAGAAAGCATGGGTGACAGAAAGTACTAATAATTCAGAAAGTGCCAAAACAAAAACAAAGCCAAATTAAAATGAACTTCTAATGACGAGATACCATAAGCATCAGCACTCACCTCGTCTTCCATATAGTTGATCAGAATGACAAAATATCTCGAAACCAGAACATCACATCCACTTTCATTCTAGAACACTACAACCTTAGATCACTGCACTTTATAACACCGTCCGATTGAATTAACCTTTGTTAAAACAACAACACATGCATGTCTGATTAACGTTCTGTCAACTCGTCTCTATTCTGAATTTCACTGCTACACCTCAAGGGCTACGTTGCATTGTGAAACTCTGTGATAGCCAGGAACAATTATGAATAATATACTACACATGCGTCCACAATAACACTTAACTCTTCAGTTGTTGTTGATAGGAATGTCTCGTCGCGTCAACAAATAGTTCTGCATACGCGTTGACCAAGGACGAACATGTAGTTTATAATTGTCCTGACATGCTCGTTTCAGTTTAATACTTTGTAACCAACAACAATTACTTACATTAGTAAGTTCGGGTTTATAGATTTATTTCTACATAATGATCGTAACTTGTTAACCACGCTAAGTTTATATTGATTAACATCTATGCTTTTATGCTTGTGATTGTTTTGTAATGAATCAAATATAAGCATGACGAACACATCGATTTCATCCATGTAACGATATGTTCCCTTAATATTATAATTTTATCACATGTGAATACCAATTGCTTTCGTTATCAAAATATTCAAAGGCAACCATATTCATAATTCTCAAAATACAATGAAAAGGTAAATAACTCAAATGTTCGCGAAAATATGAGCGTATCTTACCCAAACAGACAAACATGTGAAAATGCATGTTCACCTGAAGAAAGATGGAACATAGTCAAATACTGGGAAATCCATCGAGCATCACGTGGTTACAAACTTGGATATGTTCACCTCGCGTAGTCCTCACTGTATACTGTTTAATAATTATGAAATTTTAAGCAAACTCTAACAAGTATTATGAATGCCATGTTAAATGGATCCGTGAAGATCCGGGTGAGAACTGATCTTCAGTAACACATGCTTGTCGTAAGAGGCGACTTATGGGATCGGGTGGTCAATCTCGCTGACTTGGTGGACACATGTCAATATATTCCAATTGTGTAGATCGATGCTCATGCTATTGATCACTGGTTTGTCTGGCCCAGACTCGATTATTTACAGACCACCGCCATATAGTTGGAATATTGCCGAGTGCGGCGTAAAACTAAACTTAATCATGTGTTGTATAACGTTCTAACGTAATATTTGTTTCTTGCTCAGAGTTGTACTCTGCTTCTGATTGATCCATTACAAGTAAATGCATGACCATAGTTACCAGATGTTAATCAATGCACACCTTAGCTTGGTGAACATATTGAGATCATTGTGTAGTGGTATTCTGTAAACACGTTAATCCATGTAGACTTCAATCTATGCAACGTTAGGTTACGTTGACGCCCTCCTCTTTACAATATAAATACTGTTGCCGTCCACCAATCCACAAAATAACTGATGATTTTATTCACCCAAGTAAATGTACCACAGTAAGTGATGTTGACGTCCCCCATGTACAATACAAGTGATGTCCCCCATGTACAATACAACAAATGTTGATGTTCCCATGTACAATAAAACTAACGTTGACGTCAACCCATGTACAATATAAATAACGTTGTCGTCAACCCACGTACACTATAATATATAATCCATTTATATTGCGCATTTATCCATGCACATTGCATGCTCAAAGCGCTGACATATTACCCCTGGTCAACGAGTACAGAACACTCCCTGCGGAGAATACAACCGGTCGCCTGTCAGGGGCTCAAGGTTCAAATTCAGACTACCATCGTATCATACCAGGTACCCAATTTTACTGCTGGGTGGAAAGAGGCAATTTTGAACAAACTCACTTGCCTAAGGTGAGACCACATGCGTCACATGTGCTTCGTTGTGGGGCAGGACTGAAGTCCTAGAAAGTTTCAGGAGTCAAGCTGCCAAACACGGTCACCCATCCGAGGACTCTCCGCGATCATCGTTGCTTAACTTCAACTGATTGTGACCTGAGCTCTACGCACAGGACCACACAGGACCACAGGACTACACCATTATAACTAATGTCGACGTCAACCCATGTACAATATTACTAACATGGACTTCCACCATGTGCAATACAACTGATGCTGAGGTCCCCCAGGTAAGATATAACTAGCTTTTGAGGTCAGACCATGTACAATATAACTAACTTTGACGTCAACCCTTGTACAATATAACTAACTTTGACGTCAACCCATGTACAATATAAATAACGTTGTCGTCAACACATGTACAATATAACTAATGTTGACGTCAACCCACCTACAATATAACTAACATGGACTTCCGGATCCACCATGTGCAATACAACTGATGTTGAAGTCCCCCGGGTAAAATATAACTTTGAGGTGAGACCACCCACAAAAAACTAACTTTGAGGTCAACCCATGTACAATATTATTAACATGGACTTCCACCATGTGCAATACAACTGATGCTGAGGTCCCCCAGGTAAGATATAACTAGCTTTTGAGGTCAGACCATGTACAATATAACTAACTTTGACGTCAACACATGTACAATATAACTAACTTTGACGTCAACCCATGTACAATATAAATAACGTTGTCGTCAACACATGTACAATATAACTAACTTTGACGTCAACCCACGTACATTATAACTGACTTTGACGTCAACCCATGTACAATATAAATAACTTTGACGTCAACCCATGTACAATATAACTAACATGGACTTCCACCATGTGCAATACAGCTGATGCTGAGGTCCCCCAGGTAAAATATAACTAGCTTTTGAGGTCAGACCATGTACAATATAACTAACTTTGACGTCAACCCTTGTACAATTTATCTAACTTTGACGTCAACCCACGTACATTATAACTGACTTTGACGTCAACACATGTACAATATAAATAACTTTGACGTCAACCCATGTACAATAAAACTAGCATGGACTTCCACCATGTGCAATACAACTGATGCCGAGGTCTCCAGGTAAAGTATAACTAGCTTTTGACGTCAACCCTTGTACAATATAACTAACTTTGACGTCAACCCATGTACAATATAAATAACGTTGTCGTCAACACATGTACAATATAACTAACTCTGACGTCAACCCACGTACATTATAAATAACTTTGACGTCAACCCATGTACAATATTACTAACATGGACTTCCACCATGTGCAATACAACTGATGCTGAGGTCCCCCAGGTAAAGTATAACTAGCTTTTGAGGTCGGACCATGTACAATATAACTAACTTTGACGTCAACCCTTGTACAATATAACTAACTTTGACGTCAACCTATGTACAATATAAATAACGTTGTCGTCAACACATGTACAATATAACTAACTTTGACGTCAACCCACGTACATTATAAATAACTTTGACGTCAACTCATGTACAATATTACTAACATGGACTTCCACCATGTGCAATACAACTGATGCTGAGGTCCCCAGGTGAAGTCAACCCATGTACAATATAACTAGCTTTTGAGGTCGGACCATGTACAATATAACTAACTTTGACGTCAACCCTTGTACAATATATATATAACTAACTTTGACGTCAACCCATGTACAATATAACTAACTTTGACGTCAACTTTGACGTCAACCCATGTATAATATAACTAACATGGACTTCCACCATGTGCAATTCAACTGATGCTGAGGTCCCCAGGTAAATATATAACTAGCTTTTGAGGTCAGACCATGTACAATATAACTAACTTTGACGTCAACCCATGTACAATATAAATACCGTTGTCGTCACCACATGTACAACATAACTAACATGGACTTCCACCATGTGCAATACAACTGATGCTGAGGTCCCCCAGGTAAAATATAACGTTAACGTCCACCCATGTACAATACTGTTGTTGATGTCCCCCATGTACAATAAACCAGATGCTGACGTCACCCCATGTACAATAAAACTAACATCGACGTTCACCCATGTACAACTAAACTGATGTTGAGGTCCACCCACCTACCCGTCCAGACTCAATTATGTACTGAAAGACGCCATATATCTGGATTATTATTCAGTGCGGAGTTAAACATGAAACAAACAAACAACATCTACGTCATCAGAATTATGCGCACCAAGATTGGAGAAGACTGTGGAAAAATGTACGTGGGTTTTTTGCTGCACTCTTACAGTACACAGCCACCATGCTCTGCTGATTGTTACACGAAGTCGTCTTGGCTTCTTGTCCACCCCTTATCATCACTCGGTACCTCTTTGTATTTCTTTGTTATCTGTTATTGGAAAGTATCTAACGTTCGTGCAGTTGGTAAATGAATTCATGACGAAATGAAAACCTGATTCAGAAGCCCAGACACGATTAATTTCAAACAAGCACGCATGCTTTATTCATTACATGTCCCAGCCATACCACAACGAACAATGGATTGTTTTGAATTGCTATGTGTGTGGTTGTACATAGAATCCCCGAGGGCGTGGCCAACAACACGCTTGAAGGATTCTGTAGTGAGTGAAGATGGAGACATAGCAGCTGAATAGAGGTCTAATGAATAATCTAGTATCATAGCAGACGGTGATCAAAGGAACATCAAGACGTTTTGTCAGCAACGACTTTCACAACAGCTAATTTGCTTGTGGCATCACCAATATCATGGTTGAACACATTATCGCATCCCAAAGCAAATGAATGTCGACTGGTAATGTGTTTACATTTAATAGCCCAGCTTTCATCCTAACATACAGCATTACCTTATATGTACTCACTGCGGCGCCATTCATGCAGTGGGGCGGTGTCGAAGCCAAGCAGTTAAACGCCAAAGGTCCGGGTTCGATCCCACACATTTATGTAATACGTGTGGAAGACACTCGTTGTGTGCCTGCTGTCATATTGCTGAACTATTACTAAAAACGGCGCAAACTCGATGTCAACAAACTCATGGAATGGACAATAAATAAGATTAATTATTCGTATTACTGAAACAGTATGTATCACAGAGACCACCATCCTGAAGTAATCCATATACACATGCTCTGTCATCGTATCGCATTGTGACAATTATTTGATTGTCTAGTCCAAACTCGATAGGTTCACATACAACATTGTACAGCTGTTATACTGCTGAAATAAATG